TGGGAATGCTGAGGGGGGGAGGTTCCTCTTTCTCCTTGGTGGTCCAGTGGCTGCCGGTCGGGCTGATGGGCTGGCTGCTGGGCGGGCGGCTGGCAAGGGAGCACTTCCTCTGAGCGGACTGCTCAGCTCCCTCGCGCACCGCAGAGTGAGGCTGGGAGCCGGAATATGACGTCATCTTTCGGCTCCCAGCCTCACTCTGCGGCGCGCGAGGGTGCTGAGCAGACCGCTCAGGGGACGAGCTCCCTCGCCAGCAGCCCGCCCGACCACCAGCCAGCGCCGCCCGCCAGCCCAGCATCTCAATTAGCCGCGAGGCTAACTAGGCATTTGCCCTGGGCATTTGGGGGCGGCGTTTTTTGCCGCCCCCTGAAAAATGCCGCCCAAGGCAAATGCCTTGTTTGCCTCGCGGCTAATACGCCCCTGATACACAGACATACATACAGACATATATACATACTGACATACACATACAGATAGACATATACACACAGACAGACAGATATACTGACATACACACACTGACATACATGCATACTGACATACATACACACAGTGGTGTATCCTGGTTTTGTGCTGCCCTAGGCAGGACAAAACTCAGGCACCCCCGCGCCACCCCCACCCAACCCTTCCCCTCCGCCCCACCTTCTAAATACACACACAGTCAGACACAAACACACACAGACAAACACACACAGACACACACACAGTCAGACACAAACACACACACACAGTCAGACACACACACACAGTCAGACATACAAACACACAGTCACACACACACACACAGTCAGACACACAAACACACAGTCAGACACAAACACACACACACACAGTCAGACACAAACACACACAAACACACAGTCAGACACACACACACAGTCAGACACAAACACACACACACACACACACAGTCAGACAAAACACACACACACAGTCAGGCACACACACACAGTCAGGCACACACACACACACACACACACACACAGTCAGACACAAACACACACACACAGCAGACACACACATACACAGTCAGACACACACACACACACACAGAGTCAGACACAAACACACACACACACAGTCAGACACAAACACACACACACACACAGTCAGACACAAACACACACACAGTCAGACACACACACACACACACAGTCAATACAAAACACAGACAGGCACACACACACAGTCAGGACACAAACACACACAGTCAGACACACACACACAGTAGGACACACACACAGTCAGACACACACACACACACACGCACAACACACACACACAGTCAGACACACACACAGTCAGACACAAACACACACACACACAAACACACACAGTCAGACACACACACACACAGTCAGACACACACACACAGTCAGACACAAACACACACACACACAGTCAGACACAAAACACACACACACAGTCAGACACACACACACACACAATCACTCACATAAAAAAAAAAAATCTTTTTATTTAACCCCCCCACCCCCAAGCCTCCTTACCTTTGGGAATGCTGGGGGGGGGTTCCTCTTTCTCCTTGGTGGTCCAGTGGCTGCCGGTCGGGCTGATGGGCTGGCTGCTGGGCAGGCGGCTGGCGAGGGAGCACTTCCTCTGAGCTGACTGCTCAGCTCCCTTGCGCGCCGCAGAGTGAGGCTGGGAGCCGGAATATGACGTCATCTTCCGGCTCCCAGCCTTACTCTGCGGCACACGAGGGTGCTGAGCAGACTGCTCAGGGGACGAGCTCCCTCGCCCGCCAGCCCAGCATGTCAATTAGCCGCGAGGCTAACTAAGCATTTGCCCTGGGCATTTGGGGGTGGCGTTTTTTGCCGCCCCCTGAAAAATGACGCCCAAGGCAAATGCCTTGTTTGCCTCGCGGCTAATACGCCCCTGCATACACACATACATACAGACATTGACATACACACTGACATACATACATACACACACAGACATACATACAAACACAGACATACCTACTGACAGACATACACACATACTGACATACACAAGACATACATATACACACACACACCTCAGTGGCTGGGGATGATGGGAGCGAGCAGATGCCTCCCCTCTCTCCTCTCCTTTTTCCTGTCCTCCGCTCTCCCTCTGCTCGGAGTAAGCTGGGAGGAAGTGACCGGCCGTCACTTCCTCCCAGCAGCACTTGCGGTGTAGCCGCAATTTTTTTTTAAAAAAAGGGGCCCGGTTGCACAATTACACGCCCGCGGCGCTGACCGTGCCCCCTGAAGATATAGGGCCCATAGGGTGGCCCTAAATGCTTGGGCCACCTGATGGGCCCTGGTGCAGATGCACCTGTGGCAGTTTCGCCGCTCCACGTGGGGGCCCGGGCGGCCGGGCCCCCGGGCCAGTGACAACCGTTATGGTTGTCACTCCTTCATGGTGGCCCTGGTAGGGGTAGCCAACCCAAGGTCTGGTTGCACCAGGATTCTGATAGGAGTGAGGAATTCCTCCTTTTTTGTTTATATACTTACATCACATTCACAATGTCTTCCTTTTCTGCTGTGACCGAAGGATCTATGTAGACATGTTTACCTACCATGATATTTTACTGTTATAACTTATTTTAAAAATGAGGCTGTCCTACCAGGGTGTGGTTTCCACTGTTCTTCTGATGATCTTCCATATGTCATAACCCATATTTCTTTTGTTTTTGTATTGTATAACTCATTTGCCTCAATAAAATAAAAAAATTACAAAAACAAAACAACACCCCTGGAGTTTGTTTATTAGAATGACACTTCAAAGCTAATATAATGACAAGTTATCCTAAAAGAGGTCTTATGATCTTTTTCAAATAAAGTTTGGAAAGAATCCTTATCCCCAAGCAGATAAAAGTGAGGATGCATCTCTTTTTATTTTTTATGCAGCCTGTGAACAATAAATATGCTTGTATTCCTCATCTCATTGAAACATAGTATGTAGCCCTGGATCAAGTTACCCCAGCACATTTGACTTAGGCACCCCAGTAGTCTGTCCCAGACTACCTAATGTCAATTCTGTCAAATCTCTAAAAAATAGATCAATGTTTCACTCCTTGCCTGGGACTTTCTTCATCTTTTATCTGTTGATCCTTACGACCTCTATAACATTTGTACATTTTATTTTTTAATGGCCAAAGTAGTCCAAGGCATTCTGCATTAAATATAGCTTGCAATGCCTGCTGGGGGTAGATGCATGCCACAACCATCAATGCAGCTTTTTTCTGTTGGGATTGTGTTTTTACTACATTGTTTTTTTATCATATCTTTATTGCTGTGTCCCCTGAAGAAGTCCTTGCGAGACGAAACAAGTAGGACCGCACTTTTAGTATTTTATCTTATTTTTCAATTATAAAATAAAGCAGTTTACTTTTTTTCAACATACCCTGAGTCCGGCTTCCCATAGTGTGGTGACATCATCCAAAGCTGAGAGGGAGCCCTGGACCAGCCCCCCAGCCATCCAAGGGGATATACAAAGTCTTCATCTAGTGAGTGCAATTGAATCTAGCGCACAATAACCTATTTTAAATTGTATTACACTATTATACGGTTTTATTTTTCTTTAGCTCGTCAGCTGTATCCTCTGTATTCTGCTTGGTGCTATTTGGAAATGAATGATTTATGTAAAATATGTAAATAAATTAAAGAAATAGCTAATGCCCTATTTATTTGCCATCAATGACCAGTTCAAAAACCACTCAAGCAGGCCACTGATATTCACATTAGTGTCTCTTTAATTTCCTCTGACACAGTTTTACATATTCTCATTTTATTTACTTGTTTGTTGCGTTCATTTTCTTTTCATTTAATTTACTAACCTTAACCAGTGCATCACGAGCATTTTATTAATTTAGATATTGCTGTCAGTCTAACCCTCATTACTTAGTATGTGAAAGTTTTCTCCATGTTTTTGTGACAGAGTCACATGGGATGAAACAAGGCCTTCCTGGAAGAACTCAAGTATTGACAGAATCTTTACAGCGTGTAACTATAGTAACGGTATCCACGGTTTGGCTAATTGCCATGAAAATATTGCTTCCTGGATCTAAACAGCTTCTCCTCAGGCAGGTGCAGTGAGGTGATTGCTTTATTCATATTGTATCAATAGTAATTACTTTATTAAAACAAAATAAAGTATATCACTCCCTCCAACCCACTGGGTAGTTGCAATGCTGCAAATAGTTCACCTTATAAACAAACCAGTGAGCTCTGTCAAGGCAGCCTATTGATAGTTACTTGTCAGCCCTTATCTTTCCACACCCAACTGTGACTCCTGAATAGCATGTCTATTTGCATTTCTCAAGTCATGCTATACCTGAGCCTGTTGCTAGAAAGGGCTTGCCCAACTTCTCTTACTAGCCACTCCTGTTAGAGGTTTATTGTGTAGGTAGGTGATTGCCAGGAACAAATCATTAACTAGCTGCAGTCAACAACCTCCTAAGTTTCCTTGACAGAATAAACTGTACTTCCTCCGTGATTCACACCCTCAAGTGTATATGAGCGTTATTGGTGTTTGGGAGTGCTGCTGCTTTGAAGATGGATCGTTTTGAGGAAGGAATTGATGAAGCCCCCACTCATCCTCTGGGGACAGGTATGTGTCCCAGGTGATCAGGTGGTGGATTCCTGTGGGATTCTGAATTAGCTCTGTTTTGGAACCTTTAGAACGTTCAGATTACTATTGTGTGGTCAGTTATAGACACCCCTGCTTGAAGTTTATTATATGGTTTATTCAGTACAGCGAATTTTTCGTTTAAAGGAATATTCGACGGGCATTTTTTTTGTTAAATCACTATTTAACACTCCTAATGAAAACATGCATGCATTTATTTATTCTTTTTTTTTTTTTTAAATGGGGGTGTATATAAAAACATTGTGCAGAAGATGCAGGTCCCATACTGTAGGAATATATACAAATATTATTTTTACATTTTTTTTAATTAATCCTGTTGTAGCAGGAGTCTCATCTGTATTGGTATCTTAATTCGGCTGTAAGTATTTTTTTTTCTTAGACTTGTCTTCTAGGTTCCTAATATTTGCCATATCCCTCTTGCAGCTTGATTCCTTACACCTATCATATAGCTTGTTTATTTTGACTTCCTGTACTGTTTTTTGATATCTCAATACAACAATAAAGGTTGACAAAAAGAGTATTCCAATTAAGAGACAATTTCTCTGTTTTTTTTATTTTCTATTTTTTTTTCTTTTTTATTCACTACAATTGACTATTCTGTGAATAAACCTATAAATTAAAATGATGGGTTTTCTTCCCTGTTCTATCACTGGGGGACTTTGTTGACACAAAGCTAAACATTGCACCTACTTATATACCACTTCACTATTGGAAGCAAGTATAAACATTTTTTTTGGTTCATGTATTTTGCAGGATTACCTGTAGTCCATAAAGTCTCACTCACCTTCACTTATACTCTATAAATGATGACCACCCTGTAGAGGAATTAATTTCTCTACTAGACGCCACTGGCCACTGTTTCAATTCCTGCAAGTTTGCTTAAAATTCTCACACCCATGTTTTCAAATAGTAAAGGAAGTTTCATTGGTTCATGTCATTCCTATTCATTTGGGCTATTCAAGTTTTGATCACAACAGCAGTCAATGTCTTCTCTCAATAGATAATCAATAGATAATCAATCACCAACAAAGGAGAAGAGAATATTTTATTGATTATATATTTAAATAGAGAGATAGACAAGTTTCCTTGAATTTGTGTTGCTAATTATGCAAATAACTGTCCATGCAGTAAACAACTTGCAAGCAGGCATAATAAAGTTTATTTTGGGTGTGTTGTTTTAGCTAAGTCTATGGCAACCTGGGACCTAAATGCATAACTGTTACACAATTAGTTTGTGTCTGCCCTTAATAAACTCACAAGAATCCTAAATGCATTGTCTAAGGGTGAAGCAATTTCTTTTGACTCAATATTGGCAATCATGGCATATACCAGAATATTTGCTTTGCTATAAAATCAGTCAAATCTTTGCTTTTTAAAACATATCTGACACCACATAGCATCTCTAGACAGAAAATAAACATCTATGTTCCAACTATGGAGAACCCATTCCTCTGCCTTAGGTAAAATCTCCTTTCATCAAGTCTCAATAGATGATCTTGTCACATGTACAGTTCTCTTAATGAGCAGATCATCAAATACTTATTTACTGCAGTGTCTGCATGTATTTGTTTAACATTTACCCTATGAGACAGTTTTTAATGTGACACTTCAGTCCCGTAAGCACTTCAGAACTTCAGGCATATGTTATAAAAGTGCAAATTTCAAGACAAAATGTCACTTTCATGAACAAACAGGAAATGTTCCTGCCTCACCAGCTTTAAACTACCAGTCAAAGAGAAAGTGATTACACACACAGGAAATAGGAACAGCAACATACATGCATACTGACATTGCATAGACACATAAATACCAATATAAATAAATAAAATAACATTACATGCAAATAGGAACATGGACATATAAATATACTTACGATGCAAACAAAACACACATAGGAACACAAACATATACAAAATTGTGCACAAAGGAACACTAACACACATTCACATTCACTGGCAATGCACACTCAGAAGCTCTAAAACACATTGGCACTCTTCACACAATGCACAGTCAATGACACCACAAAGAGAGACAGACATTCACAGAAACTCTTACATTCATTAATACTCCACAAACTCCATATTTTTGTTTATTCAAAAAGCCGTTTAACATTAATGGTCACTCTTAGATAATCACAAAATGTAACTATGTAGTAAGGGTTTTATTTACTAAATTGTAAATTGATTGGTAAACAGAAAAGTCCGATTTTTTCCTGGATCACCTAGTGGTTACTCCATATAATAACTGTTATATGCTTAAAACATAATTTTTCTCAAAAATGCAAGCAAGCATTGTTTCAGATCTGTACAGCATCTGATGAAACAACCTCTTTAAAGGGTTACTCAAACGACCATAACCACTTCAGTGATTTGTCTGTGCAGTATTTCAGCTTGAAACACTGCACAAACTGAGTAATTTTATACTAACACACTTGTGTGCCAGGTGCTAGTTACTCCCAAGACACACGTGACTAAGGCAGCCTGGAATTCTGTTCTGAGCTTCCTACTGTTAATTCTATGCATAAAATACGTCCGGTGTCAGCATGCACAGCACCCTAGCAACATATGTATAGTGCTTCCCCTCCTACCCTTGTCACCCTACTCCTTCCCTCTCCCCAACCCCTCACCGGCTCAGATTGCGAGCATGCACTCCGAGCCGGTGATATAGTACAATCTATGAGAAACTTGTGATTGGATTGCGTGCGGTCCTGGCTGATGTCAGGAAGAGACGTGGAATGCAGCGCTGGCAGCTTTGCCCGGCATTGGATTCCAGGTAAGTTTAAAGCAAGGGGAGTGGGGAGGGAACCTACCGAATAGTGGTGTATAGTTTATGCCCCTGCAGTTTCACTGCTCAATTATCAGACATTTAGGAGTTAAATCACTTAGTTTACGCAGTCCTAGCCACACCTTCCTTGCATGTGACCTACACATTCTGCCTACACATTTCTGGTAAAGAGAGGTCTTATATTTAAACTTCCTTTATTGCACATTCTGTTTAATTTAGAATGTCTTATCCTATGGTCTGTAAATTGCCTGCTAGAGCCCGCAGTGGCCTCCTGTCTGTGATTAAAGTTCAATGAACAAAGCAGGAGATAAAAACTTCTAAATTAAGTAAGATAAATGGAAGCTGTGTGAGTAACAGCTAGGGGGAGGTGTGGCTAGAGTTGCATCAACAGAAACAGAAGTGATTTAACTCCTAAATGACAGTAAATTTAGCAGTGAGACTGTAGGGGCATGATCTATACACAAATAAAATGCTTCATTAAGTTAAATTTGTTTTGGTAACTATAGTATACATTTAACCTAAATGTATGGATGTGCAGCAACTTGTTTATGTAGTCTAATCCTGACTTCTAGACACTGCCTGCACAGCAGATGTCATTAGTGAAACTATTTTTTTTTTTTTTTTACTATATTGTTTAATTTTTAGGATTATCATGGCAAAAGCAAGAATCCCCCGATTTAAACCAGTTTCCAAATAGTGCCTCTCTCCGTTACCGTGGCAATGAAGCTCCGGAGAAGAATGCTGTGCCACGAGAGACACTGTATCAAAACTGGATGGATGAATTGCTGCAGGATGAGAACAAGTCTATAAAAGACCTATATTGCCCCATGAAAACTAAGAGGGAATTAAGGTAAGGTACCGTATATACTCGAGTATAAGTCGACCCGAATATAAGTTGAGACCCCTAGTTTTACCCCAAAAAACTGGGAAAACTTATTGACTCGAGTATAAGACTAGGGTGGGAAATGCAGCAGCTACTGGTAAATTTCTAAATAAAATTATATCCCCCAAAAATTATATTAATTGAATATTTATTTACATTGTGTGTATATAATGAATGCAGTGTGTGTATATAATGCAGTGTGTTTGTATGAATACGGTGTGTGTGTGTGTGTATGAATGCAGTGTGTGTGTGTGATGCAGAGCCTCGGTGGGGGGGGGGCATTTTTTTGTTTTTAATTATTGTTATTTTAATATTATTATTTTTTTGTTATATTATTAATATTTTATTTTTATTATTATTATTTTATTAATATTATTAATATTTTATTTTAATTTTATTATTATTTAAATTTGTATTTATTTTTATTCGTCCCCACTCCCTGCTTGATACATGGCCAGGGAGGGGGGCTCTCATTCCCTGGTGGTCCAGTGGATGGGCTGTGTAGGAGGGGGGCTGGCAGCGAGCTGTAACTTACCTTTCCTGCAGCTCCTGTCAGCTCCCTTCTGTCTCCTCCGGTCCGGTCAGCTCCCCTGTCAGCTCCACTGTAAGTCTCGCAGTTGCCACGGTAACCCACGGCTCTCATGAGACTTACAGTGGAGCTGACAGGGGAGCTGACCAGACCGGAGGAGAAGGGAGCTGACAGGAGCTACAGGAAAGGTAAGTTACAGCTCTCTGCCAGCCCCCAACAGGGGCAATGTAAGTTGCCATAATACAGACCTTGACTCGAGTATAAGTCGAGTGAGGGTTTTTCAGCACAAAAAATGTGCCAAAAAACTCATATACTCGAGTATATACGGTATCTATAAACCTTTAACAAGCTGCATTAGATGTGTGTGGTTTTTGATCCAAATAAAGTTGATCGCCGATCTCTATTCTAAGCACCACATAATGTATCTGTTTGGTGAGTCCGTCCTTCCAATTTTGCAATAAAATGCATTGAACATTCCCCAGCATAGCTGAATTATACAATATTTTATTATTATACAATAAAAGATATAAGTGACTTCGACAAGGCCCAAATAGTGATGGCTAGACTACTGGGTCAGAGCATCTCCAAAATGGCAAGTCTTTTGGGTCGTTCTCGGTATGCAGTGGTTAGTGCCTACCAGAAGTGGTGCAAGGAAGGACAACCAGTAAACCGGGGTAGAGTCATTGATGTTTATCAGGAGTAAGAGCTATCCAAACTGGTAATACAGAAGAGCTACTGTAGCCCAAATTGCTGAAAAGAATAATTCTGGCCAAGATAAAAAAGTGTCTGAACACACAGTGTATAACGGTTTGCTGCGTATGAGACTGCATAGCTGCAGACGGCACAATACACAATGTATTACAGTTGGCTGCGTATGAGACTGTGTAGCTGCAGACCGGACGGGGTGCCCATTAAAGCTTCCTGTCCACCACCGACAGCACCTGGAAATATGAGCATCAAAACTGGACCATGGAGCAATTGAAGACGGTTGCCTGGTTTGATGGATTATGTTTTCTTTTAGATCAGGTGGGTGGATGTGCATTGTTTACCTGGGGAAGCAGGATGCACAATGGGAAGAAGGCATGCCGGTGGAGGCAGTGTAATGCTCTGGGCAATGTTCTGCTGGGAAACCTTGGGTCCTGGCATTTATGTGGATGTTACTTTGACACGTACCACCTACCACTACACTCCTTTATGGTAATGATGTCCCCTGATATTAGTAGCCTCTTTCCACTGGATAATGCATCCTGCCACACTGCAAAACAGTTCAGGAACGGTTTGAAGAAGTACATAACTCTTATTTTAAGTACATGCGATTGTCTCAAAGGAACTTTTTTAATGTGGTTCATAAAGGCAGGCCTATAAAATTTAGACTAGGTACACAGCGTTGGAAAAACCTTTTCTTAGAGGTTATTTCTTTTTTGCTTTTCGGCTATGAAGTTATTCATTAAATGTAAAAAAAAAAAAGATGTGTAAGAAAGTGGTAATGTTTAGTTTTCTGTCGAAAATCACCGATCTAGAATTGGTTTTCTAGTGTCTGCAATAGAATAGCAATTAATCTAGTCTTTTGAGATAGAAGCAGAATGCTGTAGTATTCTAAATTGGGTCTTACGGGGAAATGAGCCAGTGAGTTAAAATAGTCCCAAATTTGTTACCATAAGGTTTAGATAAATGGACATGCCTACAGTCAGTCTTACTGGTCTACCCCCGCAGTTCCTCATGTTAAGGACGTTTTTGGATGGGATATGGGTTGTTACTGGTTATTTGATGTTATTAAAGGCACACATTGGAGTAAAGGAATATGTTGTATTGCATCTTTAGGTACATCACAAATTATATAATTTTACACTAGTAATTCATGAAGTGGTTTGGGTGCAGTGGCTCCTTAGATTTACCCTGGAAAGTTTTGTAGAAATAGCAATGTTTCCATATTTGGGTTAAACATACCTCTGCATGGCTGTCTTCCTGACAGACTTGGTTGTCAACCAAATGTGGCTCCCAATGCTTCGATATCATCAATCTTGATCATCTCAGACAGACAGACGGAGCAGCTACAGTGAGGGAAGTGACAATTCTAGTTAAACCCGAGCAGGTTTTGATTAAAAAATATCAGCATAATAATTAATTTGCAGCAAGGGATGCATACCTAGCATTTTTGTGCATTGATTGCTTTTCAGGCAAAGTTAAAAATTACTCTAGATATTTTCAATATACAAATACTAGTGGAAAGGGTAATATCTTTTGTATATGTATTTTTACTTTGTTTTATTTAAATTAATTTCACCTTGCTGTGGTGTATATTTATTTATATTATAAACTTACAAATTTAACTTGCACAACATTTATTTTTCATTTTCTAAAAATATTTGGGAAATTAAATCTTTAGACAGTATACAGTGCCCTTTATCTTGAAATGTTTCACACCTGGTCTGAAATGTTAGTATAAAAGCGAAAATGCTATTTTTGTCACATACTGTAGATGTTTAATTTTTTTTTAAATGTTCAGATACCTTGCTTGTAGGTGTTTGTAAGGTCCCTGGAGGCATTACTAGCTGTACAACTTACTGAAAATAGCAACAGGTTGTAAGTTGGATGTCTGCATATGAGTATAATGTCCACGTACAATATATGCAGTTAAATCACATATTTCACATATTACATATTTCTAAAAGAAAGATATTTAAAACTGCTATAGCAATCTTTCTCAATCTCTGGACTGCTAATGTTATGCTCAAACGCGACTCCAAGAACAATATATAGAAGGGGGCACATAAGATAGAACAGTCAAAACGTAATAAATATACACACAAACATATTTTAAGGTGGAAAGTGCCATGTCTGCAAAAATCAGAGTAAAACCCGTACTATGGGGGTTATTCAAAGAGCTCCAGTGTTTGTTGGATACAATGGCATTTCATGTATAGAAACTCAATCAACGGAAGGAGAAATTTATCAGTGAAGCTTCACCTGCCATTGTTTGGATTTACCTTTTGTGATATACCGCAGTTTGTCTCGGTGGCACCTGTACAACCCATTTGTGTGACGTTTAAGGCATTCGTTATGCACCATAACAAACTTTCTAGAGTGGTTATAGACAAAGTGAAACTGTCCCTGTAGTCCCAGCAGCCTGTAATCATAGAGCAAGAGAATTATGTTATGATTATCAGTTACCTTTCAGGCCGATTGAAGATAACCTGTGGCGATATTATGTACATTTTTATTTTTGAAAAAATACTAACAGTGAAATGGTAGAGTCCATTAACTACTCTTTCACCTGCTTTCTGACTGTAGGAATGATATCACTCATTGAAACGTCCTGTACTGTTTGAAAGCAAGGGATTACATTTCAGCAACTTTGCAGGCATTATATCATTGACTAATGGTTTCTGGCAGAGACATTCATAATCTACCAGCTGGCAATCATAAGTAGAGTGTAAATGAGGGTGAGTGAGGCTTTATGGATTAGATTTCATACTGTAAAATACATGAAAATTAAAAACGTTTATAATCAAGTTTGGCATTAAGTGGTTATCATTTTTTAACAATAGATTTTATAAAAATTATAGTAATTATATTATAACCAGAAAAGTGGTCTGTTTCAATTATCTTTTTGTCTGCCAATCTAAATATAGCAGTCTTCTAAAATGGACATTTTCTATAGTGGAAAATTCTTGTGCTAAAATATTAGCATAGCATTTATTCTAAGCAAGGGATGCATAGCTAGCATATATACATCACAATACAGCAGTTTTGGCTATAGATTGCTTTGCATACACAATTAAAATTATGTAAATTTACACCATTTTTATTCTTAACTTTTTTTAAATCTTTTATAAAAAAAATATTTGGGAAATTAAATGCTTTACATAGTATACATCCATTTTACAATACATCACACAGCGTCTGAAATGTTAGTATAAAAGCAAAAATGCTATTTTTCCCACATACAGTACGCGTGACAAAAATATATAAATAAAAATGGTCAAATACCTTGCTTATAGATATTTGTAAGGACCCTGAAGGCTTTACTAGCAGTACAGCTTACAGAAAATTGCAAGATAATGTAAAAAAAGAATGTGTATAAATGAGGGTGAGTGGGGCTTTGTGAACTAGATTTCATATTGTAAAATACATAAAAACAAAAACATTTGTGTTGCAATGTCAAGGAGTGAGAGATGCCCCATCCAATTCACAGTCCCTGTCATTGGTGTCGTCCCATAAAAAAAGGTTGAGACTGAGGATAGGACATGGATGGTGTGGAATTGATGTTGGCTACGAGTAGATTGCTCAGTGGATTACCCTTGTCCTTGTCAGTGTGACATGAATTGAGAGAAGAGTATAGCTACAGACTTAGAATTAAAACAAACAAAATATACTGGCAAGGGTGGATATTTTTATTTGAATTCCATGTAAGTAATGTTCTTACTTGGTGTCCACCCTACCTTCGCTACGTCTTATGAAGAGCCAGAATCTCTTTGTTGGAGCAAAGCAAGGCAGGGCTTTGTTCAATCGATTAGAGCGATCAGATGATGCTTTCAGCCAATGTGCTAGCCTAGTACTGCATGGCTTTGACCAAGAGAACTAATGAAAGCTTCTGGCTCTCTATAGGGAGTAGTGAAGGCAGGGAGAATAGAGGGCATTCTGGCTTCAGAACCAAAGGTAGTTCATACTATTTATGAAAATGCAATGTGTGAGCAAAGCTTAAAAATGTGGAACAGGAATATTTATTTTAAATAAAATTTTCAAATTAAGAAAAAAATATATGTCATATGCAGATGTTTTTTTTTCTGTGGGGGTCAGTGGAACAAGAACTTCTGGTGAAAAAAAACATTGTTTATGAGTGTGTTGGATGGTAATGGTGATAATGTAGAATCCGTCTTGTGTAAGGAATGTGTAGCGAAGAGCCCAGTTGAATTAGATTTTCACACCTTTTCACCTAAAATGAAGACACACTGCTGGATCCAAGTTACCTTTATTATTATGTTCAGCCACTTGTTTGCTATAAAATTTGTCTGTACAAAATTACAGTTAGCATTTATTGGTTTCTCTGCTCAGGAAGAAACAAGAAAGGATGATTGCAAAGAAGACTGGATGGCAGTCCTGGAAAGAAGATAGGCAGAGATCTTTTAGAAAGTTTAAGAGCGAAACATCTGAGACTTTACAATACATGGAAGTCTGGAGAAGCACATTACAAAGTATTGAAGGTACGCCAGGATTTACGGATGTATTGAAGCTAAGGCTGTGAAACATCATGTAATTGAATTTCATATGAAGTTGTGCTAGTATTTTTAGACCTCATTGTAGTAATGGTTCTTTTTCACAAGGCACTAATATTGATACCTAATGTTTAAAGGGCCACTAGTTTATTTAATACTTTGACTCCAGGTAAGTGTGTGTGTGTGTGTGTGTGGTGGTGGGGAGTGGAAGGATGTAAAATGTATGTGCTTAGCAAATGACGCAATCCTTTCTCCACCCTGTGGCAATCAATACTACAAAGGGCTCAGCTTTTGAAGTTTCCTCCAAGAATGCCTAGTTGGCCAGTTCCCTGTTCTGAATACCGATACGGCAAGAGGATTCCCAGTCCCTTTAGCCCTAATTTAAAACAAGCACTACCCAGTATAGGATATCCTAGTCCCAAAAGTTAACCCACTTGAACCCAACCCAGTCCTGTGTCTATAGTTCCCAAAGCCCTTAGCCACCAATCTTCACAAACACTGCCAACCATCTCCCTCCTGTTCCTGACCATCCCACCAGATGTCCAGGATCATAATTAAAACAAAAGGGAAATACATAAATAAGATAAAAAGAAAAAGAAAAAATATATAATAATGTTTTCTTATGTTCTTACATTTCGATAAAAATCTAGCCTTGAATTGCAATTCAATGATTTAATGTATTCACCAATGTAAACTGCCTATTTAGTGTAGTGTATATCATATGCATATATATGTAACTGTGATACCGCAGGTTCTTTGAAATAAAATAATTTAAAAAAAAAAACAACTATCCAGAGATTCCAGGCCCTCCTGATTGTTTCCATGGTGTTTTAATAGCTTAGAACTATTTATTTAGAAGGAGCACATATTCCTCTGTCTACTTGCAGAACCTTCAATGCACTATGATTGGTTGTGCTTGAAAGCCAGTAAATCACAGTTCATCTTCAGGCATGTCTAACCCCTGACAATCTTGTGTCTTGTTGTCTTGTGACAAGAGTAGGTGACGTTTAAAAGCGTCTCCCCTGATTATTTTTTGCAAATTGTAAATGTTAGCTAAGCTAATTGGAAAAATTCTCAGCTATTTTGAACCTCAGCTGTTTTTGCCTAATATTCGCTAATCCCCTGTTTAGTAAATATAAAGTAGATATGCATATACAGGTAGATAATTTATTCCAAAAATGTAAATATGTAAATATTGCAAATGACAAAAGAATATAAAAGCTAAATAAGGCCACGGTATCGAGATAGGATGAAAAATATAGATTAAAAAGTGAATTACGTGTTTAATTTCCTTCAAGTAAACAGACATAACAGACATTAAAAATTCTGTCTTTCCTACTCTACCAGCGGTAACTGGAGATTGTAGAAAGTTACAATCTATGTCATGTCTTATTAGAGTGCAATATAATCCTTTCTAAAATTAGCCGTGACACTTTTGTCCGTTTCCTGGAACTATTGCATTTGTCAAAATATGCAAAATTATTTTTATATAGTATATATAGCAACTACCATCAGTTACTGCTTTAACCCCTTAAGGACACATGACATGTGTGACATGTCATGATTCCCTTTTATTCCAGAAGTTTGGTCCTTAAGGGGTTAAATATGTGTTAAAATAAGCCAAGGTTCAATTTCCATACTGGCTGCTAAACTTGTTTTTCATTTCTTTTGTAACACAATGGCTGTTGTGCAAATAATAACTTTTCACACATTTTCTTGTTTGTTTTCTTCGTGCATTTGTTAGCCAAATTGCTAGTGAATGTGCAGATCAAAAGTTATTTATTATTTTATATGACCTTCTTGTGCTTTACAGTTGTGTGAATGTAGTCACCAAAACAACTTTAGCTTAATGAAGCGGTTTTGGTGTATAGTTTATGCTCCTGCAGTCTCACTGCTCAATTCTCTGCCATTTAATGTCACTTTGTTTATGCAGTCCTACTCACACCTTTCTTACACAGCCTTCCTAAACACTTCCTGTAAAGAGTCATCTAATATTTACACTTCCTATATTGCAAATTGTGTTTAAATTAACATTTCTTATCTCCTTCTCTGTTAATAGCTTGCTAGACCCTGCAAGAGCCTTTTGTATGTAAGTAAAGTTCAATTTACAGAACAGGAGATAAAAAAACCCATCTGATTTAACTCCTAAATGGCAGATAATTGAGCAGTGAGACTTTAGAGGCATTATCTATACACAAAAACTGCCTCTATAAGCTAAAGTTGTTTTGGTAACTATAGTGTCCCTTTAATGATAGCCCATTGATAGTTGCTAAATACCTCAAACCGCTATAGAGGGATATTTTCATTTTCACGGTTGGGGCAATTTCAAAAAATGGTTAAGTGACATGATCTATTAAAGTAACATTTAAAAAAAAAAAAAAGGTAATTAAGAGAAAGACTAAATTATCTTCTTTTATATGCTTTAAAATGGCACTCTGGCTTAAACCTGTATATACATCTCACATTTGGAGCTGCTAGAACATAACAGCAGTGCAACTGGATTAAAATAAGGACTGCCTCTCTTAACAAAGGACACTTGGGTTGTATGTCTCTACCACATGCTTTATTTTAAAAATATTTTGTTTTCTTACAGGACACTTTGGGACAGGCATTGAGTCATATTTCAGCTTTCTCAGATTCCTGGTTTTAATGAATTTTGTCACCTTCCTCCTTGTTGGAGGTTTCATTGTCCTCCCCAGCATTATATTTAATGAATTACCTCCGACAAGCATAAATGGTGAGTCTGTTTCTAACAATACCAATTGTCACTGCTCTGTACTGTGCCAGCAAATACACATAGGATAGATACCTCATACCAGATTGTAAGATGAATAGAGGAGCATTGGAACCATAGGCGCATTTGCGGTGCTTGTCGTGATGCACCTATGATGCTGCCACAAAGAATCATTATGCAGTGATTCCCTATGGCAGACTATGATGGCACTGCTCACGAGCGGCTGGGTGCTAGGTTCACAGAATGCTAGTATAAAAGAGTTTGGAAGTAACGATGCCGACTGTTATACACAGAGGACTGCTACTAATCTCCATGTTTCTTCTAGCGTATGATAAATGCACCATGCAGGGAGACATTTGGATTGAGCTCCACCCGGCTAAATGTGAACTATGATTGGAAAATCTTTAAACTCCCTCAGTGTAAAATGCCAATCCTTTAAAACATCAATGTCCTTTGTACCTATAACTCGTTATTTGAATTGGCTGATCTTTCAGTCTAACGTCAGTTTCATTAATGATTACAATGATACATAAAGTGTCACATCACTTATTCATCATGTTTAATAATAATAAACTGTGATGTCATTAAATTAAATCTCATATTACAGAATTCTTAGACAGCCCCACAGCACCATAAGCCCCCTCCCAAGAAAACACAGTAAGAAAATATTTTACAGTAAGAAAATATTTTACTAAATTTTATGTGTAGAATTTCAATCCTTAAAGCGATACTCAAAGCTTCATAACAACTACAGCTAATTGTGCTGGTTATAGTGCTAGGATGCTTTGGGTGCAGTTTTTAATGGTTTTTAACGGTTTAGCAGATATACCCTGAAGTAAAACATGTATGTAGTTTGTTTTCCATGATTCTTTGGACGGATATAAAATCTTGGCTAGCAGCTATTGCAGACCCTTCCTTTGTTCAATGGCAGAGACGAGCAAGTTCAGTCAGCGGCCTCTCATAGAAGCCACTCGTGTCTGTGTCTGCCCAATCACACATGGTTATTTACTGATATAAGAATTGTTAGAAATTATCAGTTAATTCCAACTGGATGTCAAATGAAAAGCCCAAAATAGCTGAACTGGAAACATAGCTGACTTGGAGAATTTTTTTCAGTTCAGCTATTTTGGCTTTAAAGGAACACTATAGGGTCGGGAACACAAACATGTATTCCTGACCCTATAGTGTTAAGACCACCATCTACCCCTCCTGGCCTCCACTTGCCTTCCCTAAATATAGGGAGGGCAATATCTTACCTTTATTCTGCTACTGCTGCTGCTGGTTCTGCCCCTGATCTGCCTGCTTGGCTGACATCATCAGAAGTTGTGTTCTGATCCAATCACAATGCTTTCACATATGAAAGCATTGAATTTGCTGAGCTTGTCAAGGAGGCAGATCAGAGGCAGAGCCAGCACAAGCCAAACACAGCCCTGGCCAATCAGCATCTCCTCATAGAGATGAATTGAATCAATGCATCACTATAAGGAAAGTTCATTGTCTTCATGCACACTGTGCAGCTTTGCCCCAGGAAGCACCTCTAGCAGCCATCTGAGGAGTGGCCAGTGGAGATATCCCTAGGCTGTTAAATAAACACTGCATTTTCTCTCAAAAGACAGTGTTTACTGCAAAAAGCCTGAAGGGAATGATTATACTCTTTAGAACAAATACAATAAGCTATAGTTGTTCTGGTGACTATAATGTCCCTTTAAACTTGATATTCACTTGGAATTCCCGATACTTTAATAAATAACCCTGACAGCTCATTGAATAGTCTTTCAAAGGCAGGAATTATGTGAAAACATATGCTTTTGAGGCTAGCTCTATGGAGCTAAGCAGCCATGAAGAAATACCTCCCGCTGACGGACAGCCAGGGCCACACCCCCACTCACACCCCTGAAAATAAAGTGTTCACTCTTTGCCCATTTGAAATATTGTCTCTCAGCTTCTTTCCCTCCATGTTCTTTTCTCCTAATATTTCAGATGGACAAAGAGGGACACTTTAATTTTAGAAGTGTGAGTGGGGGTGTGACCAGGAGTGGTGCTTTTCTGAGAAATTTTAGATGACTTATTAATAACAATTTATGCAACTAAAATGTAATTTGTATCAGCCACAGTGTATCTTATTTACACAGACTGAATTCTAAACACATATATTGTAGTTTAAAGACACATTGCTGTAATTATTATTGATGTGGAGCTCTGTTATACCCTCAAACACATCAACAATATGGGGTATGAAAAAACTGATGAGTATAAGTGCTCAATATCTATAATTAGCAGCAGCTTATACACTCAGACACATAAAAATATGGAGCTCCTAGAAAAGAGGGATATTAGGTCAGAAAAGAGGAACAGAGGGATTTGGGCCCAAAATAGGGACTATCCGTCCTAAATAGGGACACTTGGGAGGTATGCATGTCTCTCTCCACTATTTATAATTTCCGCGTCTTTCCCTTCCTCTATTATCTCTCCCTTAAACCATTGTGTGTCTGACAGTTTTGTGTCTGTTACTATGACCCCTGCAATTTTGTGACATGCAGGGAATCCATGTTGTGTGCAACTGTTGCTGTATTCCCTTGTTGCTATAGGGAAGTATAATTTTTATTGTTTCATGGAGGTATTAATATTGTGTTTACTGCAGTCATGCGTGATAATTATATTGAGCAATTACATATCCATATAAATGTGCCGAGCTCCACAGATAACTCTGGTATTTACCTGTGATGTAATACTGTATAATTATCTTGTTTATGTGGAGTTAATTACACATTCACAACAAGGTTAGAAAATAAGCCATTGTTATATCTCTCTATAACCAGTGCTGCCACAATCCGCTTCACTCTGTCTTCTTCCACTCTACCCTACATTAGATACATGTCAATGTCGTTACTTCACTTCCTCCTACACTATAGGTGGTCCTCACGTAACAACCTACCTGTTTTATGATGGATCACACTTACGACCGGCTCTTTAGCATGGGGATTCAAGGGATTCCCCATGTTAGAGAGCTGGTCTATGTTCAGGGAATGTTCCCCGAACATAGATTTGAGGGATTCCCTGCTCTGATGCGTTTGTCTACGTTCGGGTAAATTTCCTTGAACATAGCCCTGCACTGATGCGCATGCTCCGTAGCGCATCCTCACTTACCGACCAATTCGTTTTACGACCGAGTCGTAAGAACAGAACCCAGTCGGTAAGTGAGGAGAGCCTATTTCTGAGACTGACTAGGCCACAGTTCACCTATTGTGTCAACTGTTTCTTTGTTTGTGAATTACCTGCTGTTTTATTTTCCTTTTTTTTATTGTAAAGCACTGTGCAATGTGTTTGTGCTAAATATATGATAAATTAAAATAAAAGATCAGTGATCTAGCAAATAGATAGAGAGTCCATTATGCTACAGCAATGAAGGTGAGCTTATTACCACAACTACTCCCACTGTCCCAGGACAGTCCCTATTTCAGGGGTTCAGGACACCAGTGTACAGTTATCAGCCAGCATAGTATGAGCACATCATTAAATGGCCGAGCATGGTGCTGAGGGTTCTTAAACCATGCAGTGAGTAGTGCTGTCTGCATGGACTGCTGTGTGTGGCGCTGGCCGGGGGACTGTCAGTGTGCGTTGACACTAGGCTGATGTCCGGGCTGATACTCCTCATGTGTGGGCAGATTCACACCTTTGCCCCCTTTCCAGGTAGACCTGCTTATTTTGAGAGTATCCAATGATTCAAATTCTGTCTCTGGCACACACCCCATTGCACCCACCTTGTCCTGATCACATACCTCCTAAAGTGGGGAGGTATTCGGACTGTAAGGTCACTTACTAGAACTGACACTCCTGCATCAACTTTGTCGCATTTTCATCTTTCCTGACACAATCGTCTTGCTATAAGACCCAGCTCACATTTTCTGGCCATGTTTCTACTTAATTGACACAAGATGCTTCTAACGCACCTTTCTTTTACAATTCTTTTTTTTTTCTCTTTGCTCCTTTTTGCCACATTGTTGGCATTGTGAATGTGTCTAAATACAGAATTGATTGAGACTAGTGTCCCATCGTGTTTTCCAATGTTTAAGTGCATTTTATTATGTTCTTTAATCGTGATTCTTGCATTTTGGTTTCTGTGACCTAGTTATAAGGTTCTTGTTCTGACCTCAGTATTATTTTTAGCTCTCTTAGTTCTGTTACTTCCTATTCTAAGCCCAGCCACTTTAAGATCCAGTAAAATGCCTGTTTTTCACTCTTACTGAGTTATATCTTGCTAAGTATCCCCTCCAATTTTTCTCACATGTGTACAGTATAAGAAAATTAACAAGAGCCACTGAAAGCTGTGGTGGCAGGTGGCGTTTTCAGCTAGTTCAGCTGGGGTCGCAGGCATGATGTGAAACAATCAATAAACACTTAATGGTATTTCAAATACTCTGGCCCTATTTGCTGTGCTTTATGGTGGTTTCTGTTCTCGGTACCCGTTAGTGCGTTCTTTGATATATTGTGATTTTTTGGTATTGACCTTGGCTTTGTTCTTGATCCTGAGTTTCTCTTGCCTTGGTTAGATGTTTTTTTTTTGTTTGTTTTTTAATATACCGTGTACGTGAGGGATACTGTTGTGTTAGGAATACAGTTTTGAGTAAACATTTTAGTACAATTAAACATTTAATTTTATGAGTTATATTTAGTACTAGTAAACATGTTAGTACAATTTCTATATATACAGAGTATCAGACAAAGTGCTACCTGGCAGGCAGTTCCTGTCTGGATGAGAATGCATTGGAGAGCTGTCAGCAGGGAAGAGAGTGAAGGAGTGTCTCAAAGCATGGAGTAGAAGCACCAGGCTTAAACAATGCAGCAATCATGGGGCCAAAATGGAGGCTGCCTCAGGGGAAGTTGAGTACTGATAACTTCACCCCCTATGACAGCTCAGTAGGCAGGCCTGTGTTTTATTGCAGCATAATTGCTGCCCAAACAGGATACATTAAGAAGAACTGGTGGCTGTCAGATAGCCCATGCTAGTGATTCACGCAACTTTGCACAGGATTTAAGCTTATTTTGGGGAAAAATACTGTATATAGTTTGATTTACTATTATTGTTTGTTTTTTTGGCTTTAAACCTTGTGTGGCGTTGCCCCCGCCCCAGCTGTCCCTATGGACGAGCCCCTAGTGACTGGAGGATCAGATCTTCCTAAAAGATTTTTGATCCCATGAATAGCCTGTATGTAGTCATGCTCTCTGTTTTTTAATAACATATTGCTTTGCTCTCTGTTTGTTCTAGTACTAAAACTATTGTACTTTGTTTATTCATAGCTACCACTGCCACAACTGACTCGACAACAGGTAAATGAGTTATATTTGGCTTTGTGACAAATGTAAGAAATATTTATTGTTCTAAATTATAAAAGGAGCATAATGCTTTTTATTATATTGTATAGCTCTTGGATTCTGCTGGTGGTTTCCATTCTGTTGTTCAGACATGTGCAATATGTTGGTCATTTTTTTAAGTCACTACTAGGCTCATTACAGTAAATCCTGTTATTCTCAAAAGAAGTATTAAACAATTCCTTTGAAAATGGGAAATACTGAATTCATTGTCACAGTCTCAGAATAAATAGGCAATTTCGCACTTACCATGACATAGGAGAAACTCTTTCAATCTCTTACCAGATTCCAGCGCTAAGGTTCCTCCGCGCTGGATTTTGCTCCTCCTCTACCCATGCCAGCCAATGGGGGAGGGGGAGGGGAACCTAATGACTTAATGCATTCCTATGGAATTTAGAGCACACTAGACGTCCTCATGCAAAACGTGAGGACGTCCAGAGACATTTCACAGGGTCAAACTCTATGAAACCGTAGAAAGCACTTCTAGTGGCTTTCTGGTACGCAGCCACAAGACACTGTTTCTCTAAAACTGCAATAATTTACATTGCAGGGATTAGGGGGACAGGGACAATGCATTGAGATTAAGTGGTCTGTGTGCCTAATGTGTCCCTTTAAGATAAATGGGCACATTAGTAGTATTTTATGGTGCATAGGATAATATAAAATGGCAGATTCATAAGGTGCAAAGATGAACTGACAGATTCTCAAGGTAAAGCAGCAGATTCTTAGGGTCTCAAGATGGCAGATTTTCAGTGTTTCAGCATAAATGGGGATTCTTAGGGTGAAGGAGCAGATTCTCAGACAGAATAGGTAAAATCTAAGGGCCTCAAGTTTATCTGGCAGATTCTCCAGGTTTCAGTGTGAATTAACAAATTTTCTGGGGGCAGTTACGAGTTTGCATGGTCATAGAATAAAGAATCAAACACTCAGGGTGAATAAGCACATTTTAAGGGTATGAAGATAAATGGGCTAATTATTATGATTTCAGTGTGAACAGGCATATTTATGGTCTAACAACTTTATAATTAAGGCCAAACAAAAAGACGAATTGTAAAAATTCTCCCAATATTCCAGCATGCCCTAAACTGAGCAATTATCTTTTGAATTCTGTAAAATTTCTAGTTTAGTGAATAAATTCTATATGTGTTCCAGGGCTGCTAAAAAAAATAAAATGACAATTAATTTCTGTTATATTTCAATTCAACCCCGTAGGAAATATTAGTGTGTGTCTCAACTACAATCCAAATGAGCAAGGATTGGTGGTTTATTATACTTTCATCATCGATATCCTGATGGGAACGGTGAGCAATAATCATGATTAATGCAATTAATTCTAAATATAATAAATTAAAGCAACATTTGTTTACCTCAATTTAACCTATTGTTTACAAAAACTGTACTTTAATCTATAAAATATTTTTTTTAAATTATTTTTAATAGAGGACTTTGTAGAGGATTGCCAAGTGAATTGGCAATTTTAACCCAAAACAAACAATCAAAATTTTTCCAGTTTTGATGTTTTGGGTTAAACTGACAGTTCACTTGTCAATTCTCCAAAATTACAGCCCTTACCTGCCACTTCTTGGGCATGTGGCGATCGGATTCAGCTATGCAGGCAGTCTTCTGGACGTCGGTCCCACCTTCATTTAAAAGACAGCGCCCACATCTCGAGGGTACAACACCACACGTCACGTCCAATTATGCCATATACTCTGCCCCTAGGCGTCTGGAGTTGTGTAGTCTTCACAACCCCTCAGACCTATGTAAATATCAGTTTAATGGTGTTCAATGCCTTGTTGTGGTCTCTATTGAGTTCCAATAGTGTGTTCTTACTGTTTTGTGTATCTTGACTTCATTGACCTGTCTATCCCTGACTATTTTGATCTCTGTAATCCTTTAACCTGGCCCCATTAATTGTTCCAATTCATTTCTCCTGACCTCGGCTAGCCTGACAATTCTCTTACTGTTTATACGTTAAGTCTGTGCCACCTCTAGGGTGACCAATACGTCTCCTATCCTATCGTTTTTTTATTAGGCTAGGTTTTGTTTCAGATACTGCATGTTAGGCTCTTCTCCTGCTTTGTTAAATAACTACAAACTCTATCAAATGTTCCATTCTTTAATTTATATTGCTTGTTGGCTTCAAATGCTATTCAGTGAGAAATCCCTTCAACTTGGATGAATGTACAAACAGATATGAAATCTATAATGTTTAAAAAAAAAAAAAAAGAAAGAAAAACATCTTGGACAGCAATGGTAGGCTGTAAGTGCTGGTCTCACTTTCCCCCAATGTTTTCAGCCTATCATTGCCGTTGAAGGTTCGACAACTTTGGATGGATAATACGGAATTGAAACTTTCACATTATCTGAATGTCTACAAGGGGGCTAGATTTCGGTTGCCAAGAGAGCCCAACTTTTTACAAAAATGTTAAAAAGAAAACCTGGAGATAACACCGAAAAATACTTCCACCATAACCACTACATTATTATTGTATAATTATAAGTAAATAAAAACATAAGTGAGACATGAACAAGTGGTTTCTTTCTATATTTTCTATACAAAGAGCATATGTTAGCGTATTTAAAAGCATCCATATAAATCTTTGCATAACATGCTCTGCATTAAGTTACGTATAGAACACACACACATGCGCTCAATAACTTGCCGTATATAGTGATTGTTTCTAATACCGTTTACATGTCTTATTTTTTTCAGGGATTCATGGAGTTCACATACATGTTTTATGGTTATTATAAGAATACATCAGTGAATCTGGTTGGATTTTTCTACAACATTCCCTTGGCGTATCTAATAACCACAGTGATTTACTTTCTACTGAGCCTGGTGTGGATGGTAATCCGGTGAGGTCTTTAATGATTAAATAAAAGAACCATCACGTATAAGAACTTATCATTGGTTTCCCAAATCCTCCAATCACCACTTTGGCAATCAGTGCTCTCTTATGTGATTGGCTGTAAAAGAATGTGTACAAAAAGCAACCCCTTTTCATTTTGCAAGAAGACTTCTAGCTGTCTCAAACCCATCAGAATACAGCTATAATTAAAATTATGTATTTGTCTCTGTTTGTTTCATCCTTGTTCTATGTTTCTTCCTTATCCATTAGTCTTTGTTACCTCCATAGTCCCTCATTTTTCCTTCTCTGTCCATCACTTATCCCTATAAACATTTGTGTTCTTTCTTGTTTTCGAATTGTTCCATGCTGTTCTTCTTTAATCCTTGATGTATCTTCCTGTCCCCCAACAACATATCACTCTGCCTATCTACTTTTTCCTTTACAATTTGAATTCCCAATAAGTCACACTAGTGAATAGCCCCAGTAGGTGGCTTTTTGGGGGAAAACCCCCCCCAAAAGATCTGTAGTTTGACGGTTCTGTATGTAGTCCAATTTGCCCTGGGCCAAAATAATCCAGGTAGAAATTATTTGGGGAAAAAAATTCAGGTAAAAATATTTGAAAAGAAAATCCAAGTATTTTGTCCTGAATTTTGCATGTATACCTCACAATTTAGAGGATAAGTTAATTAATATTCATCACAGTAACATATGGATACTTACACAAAATGTAATCCCTAGTTAGTTTGTAGCAGTTGTTAATGGTATTTAAAGTATATATTAAAGAAAAATAATTACTCCTACCATTTTCCATTTTTGCAACACAGAACACATTAAAGCGGCACTGTCATCCTGAACTTACCTCTCCTCAATCTCTTCCTCTTCTCCCCCTCTCTCAGGATCTGTTATTCTTTTCTTCCTGTCTTCTTTAGTTTTCTTTAAAATCATAAGACAAAGTAGGGACTCTTTGCCTTATGGAGGTTTCCTTCTCTTGACCAGCTTTGACCAGCAGAGGAGCAAAGTGTGCTTCATTTCCGCTGTTCAAAGAAATTTTCCCATAATTCTTACCTTTCCTCTGTGATCTCACGATGCTTCCTGTAATTTTAGACAAAACTGACGAATTGTTTTCTAACTGAATGAGAACAGTATGTCCGTTTCTTTTAGAACGCAATTCGGCACTTTGTTCGTATCGGAATTTCATTCAAATGAATGAAACTCCGATCCTATTCATTGCGGCGGCTGCATCTTGCAGCCGCTTAGTAGATAACTCCCTAATTCCCACGGTATCAGGGAGCTGTCTACCAAAAGGCTGAAAGACCTAAACTGGTCTTTCAGCCAACTTTACTAATACTAAGTAAGGATTACTTAGTATTAGTAAATTCAGCCCCTACTCGCTATACCGCCTGTGGCTGCTCACTGTAAACCCCCCCCCAAAAAAAGACAATTGGGGGGGACGACAACCTATTGTCCTCCCCCCGGCCCCCACCCCTGCGCGGTGGGTGGGGGCCATAAATTACAATGGGGGGAACCTACTGTCCTCTCCCCCCCGGCCCCCACCCTTGAGCGGTGGGTGGGGGCCATAAAGATATTGAGGGGGGGACCTACTGTCCTCCCACACCGGCCCCCACCCCTGCGCGGTGGGTGGGAGCCATAAATTACAATGTAGGGGACCTACTGTCCTCCCCCCAGCCCCCACCCCTGCGCGGTGGGTGGGGACCATAAATTACAATTGGGGGACCTACTGTCCTCCCCCCCAGCCCCCACCCTTGAGCGATGGGTGGGGGCCATAGAGATAATGAGGGGGGCCTACAGTTCTCCCCCTGGCCCCCACCCCTGGGCGGTGCATGGGGGCCATAAAGATAATGAGGGGGGGGACCTACTGTCCTCCCTCCACCGTCTCCCACCCCTGCGCGGGTGGGGGCCATAAATTACAATGGGGGGGACCTACTGTCCTCCCCCCCCGGCCCCCACCCTTAAGCGGTGGGTGGGGGCCATAAAGTTAATGAGGGGTGGGACCTACAGTCCTCCCCCACGGCCTCCACCCCTGGGCGGTGGGTCGGGGCCATAAAGATAACGAGGGGGGGACCTACTGTCCTCCCCCCACCGGCCCCCACCCCTGCGCGGTGGGTGGGGGCCATAAATTACAATGGGGAGGACCTACTGTCCTCCCCACCCCTGCGCGGTGGGTGGGGGCCATAAATTACAATGGGGGGTGACCTACTGTCCTCCCCCCTGGCCCCCACCCTTAAGTGGTGGGTGGGGGCCATAAAGATAATGAGGTGGGGGGACCTACTGTCCTCCCTGCTGCTTCTATAGTTACATATTACAAGGAGTTCGTCTGACAATGCTATTCATTCATTCGTCTTTCTGATGAATGAATGAATAGATGAAATTCCCGTTCACATGTCCAAGTGTTTCACTGGGCATGTGCGGGAATCTCACAGCACTATCTAGTGTGGGCAGATGATGTGTCCCACAGGGACTTCATCTACCCACACAAAGATGGCGGCGCCCTGAATATAGGTCGGGGCAGAAAATAAAGATAAAAAAATAGAGGACTGTAGATCCCTCCCCTCATTATCTTTATGGCCCCCACCCACCGCTTAAGGGTGGGGGCTGGGGGGGAGGACAGTAGGTCCCCCCCCATTGTAATTTATGGCCCCCACCCACCGCGCAGGGGTGGGAGACATTGGGGGGAGGACAGTAGCCCCCCCCCATTATCTTTATGGCCCCCATGCACCGCCCAGGGGTGGGGGCCAGGGGGGAAGACTGTAATGTGGGGGGCTTAGAGGCATTTGGGGTGACTAGGGGGGTCAGTTAGATGTAGTGGAGGCAGGAGGGGGGGGGATTAAAAAAAACGGGATTCGGCCATGACAGTGCCGCTTTAAGGGTTATTTACTAAAGTGAGAATTGATGGTGATAAAAAGTGAATTTCAAACTTTACTCCTAAATTACACCTTTTTTTTTTTTACTTTGGCATTTTTGGCATTAAATTTGAAATTCCCGGCAATTCTCACTTTAGTGAATAACCTTGTTGGATATATCTCCACTCATTGTCTCTTTTATCCCTTCTCTGTAGGGTTTGTCTGTGCTGAAAGCTAAGTGCAAAGGACAGAGCTTAAAGGAACACTCTAGCATTAGGAATAAAAATGTGTGTACCTAACACCATAGTGTCCTAGTACCCATTTAGGTGACTGGCTCACACCAGCAAAGAGAAAAAAAGGTATTTTACTTACCTTTTGTCATTTGTAGTGCTGGTCTCCGGTGCCTCCTCTTTGGTTAAGATCATTGAGATTGATGATATCAGCCAACACATCACTCTCACAGAAACCTCTAATGTCTTGACCTAGAGCATATCTCCACTAATCTCCAAATTCTCCTTTTACCTATCTCAAACCTCACCTGTCCTAGTTCTGCAACCTCCTTCTACAATTCCACCCTATCCTCTCAACTAGACATCATGGCACCTTGTACATTTAAACGCCGCAGGCCCCCCCCAACAACAACCCTGACACACCAAGCTCACGCGATACCTCCAAAAATGCACCAGAACTGCTGAACGCTGTTGGAGAAAGTCTCACTGTGCATCTGACTTTCTCCACTATAAATTTATGTTGAGCTCATGCAGCTTGGCTCTTTCCTCTGCAAAAGTTAATTACTTCAATACCCTCATAACCACACTCTACCGCGAACCCAAACGACTATTTCACACATTTAACTCTCTTCTTCGCCCTGCTGTTCCTCCTCCATCTACTAACTTGACCGCCTCAGACTTTGCAACTCACTTCACTGACAAGAGCTCTACAATCAGAGAAGAGATCTCTCATCTTTCTTCTTCCCCTTACAATACTTCCCCTAACTTCACTCCCTCTGCTGTTCTATGTTCATTCGCACGTGCTACCTTGGAAGAGGTTTCTGCTCTGCTCCAGTCCTCCCGCCCCACCACCTGCTCCCTCGATCCAATTCCCTCGCATCTCATCCATATTCTGTCTTCTTCTCTTTCTCCACCTCTCACTAAAATTCGCAATCTCTCTCTCTCCTCTGGTATATTTCCATTGCCCTTCAAAGATGCAACTGTAACCCCAATTCTAAAGAAGCCCAATCTTGACCCTAACTCCCCATCCAACTATCGTCCTATCTCGCTACTGCCTTTTGCATCCAAGATCCTTGAAAAAATTGTGTATGCGAGATTGACAGACTTCTTCGAGTCCAACTATCTGCTAGACCTGCTTCAGTCTGGTTTCCGCGCTAAGCACTCTGTGGAAACGGCACTGACCAAAGTATCCAATGATCTGCTTGCTGCAAAATCTCGTGGTCACTACTCTATCCTAATTCTCCTTGACCTGTCTGTGGCTTTTGACACTGTTGATCATCAACAGCTTCTTCTCATCCTCCGCACTATCGGTCTACAAGATATTGCTCTCTCCTGGTGCTCCTCCTACCTCTCCCAGCGCTCTTTCAGTGTTTCTTTCACTGGCTCTGATTCTTCTTCCCAGCTCCTCTCTGTCCCCCAAGGTTCAGTCCTTGGTCCCCTACTGTTCTCCATCTTTACTGCCTCCCTTGGTAAACTCATTAGCTCCTTTGGCTTCCAATATCATTTCTATGCAGATGACACGCAAATCTACCTGTCCTCTCCTGATCTCTGACTGCCTCTCTGCTGTTTCTAACTGGATGGCTGCCCACTTCCTTAAACTAAACTTGACCAAAACTGAAATTCTGCTCTTTCCTCCCTCTTTCCTCCCTCAAGTGTTGTTACTCCTGTGTCTGTCTTCCTCCAAGTCAACGGTGTTACCATCAGCTCCACCACGCAGGCTCGCTGCCTAGGTGTTCTCTTTGACTCCGACCTCTCCTTCAAGCCTCATGTGCAATCTATCGCCAAATCCTGTCATTTCCATCTCAAAAACATTGCGCGCATCCGCCCCTACTTAACGCCAGATGCGACTAAGGTGTTGGTCCATTCCACTGTCCTTTCTTGCCTTGACTACTGTAATCCACTTCTCAGTGGTCTTACGTGCTCCCAACTTGCGCCGTTACAGTCCATAATGAATGCGGCGGCGAGGCTCATCTTCCTGTCCGCCCGCACCTCCCATGCCTCACCCTTCTGTCAGTCCCTACATTGGCTTCCTATAAAATAGAGCTCAATTTAAAATTTCTGGTTCTTGCTTTCAAATCTCTACATAATGCTGCTCCCACCTATCTATCCTCCCTTATACACAAGTATGTCCCGTATAGGCCCTTACGATCTGCTGAATACTTAAGTCTATCTTCTGTCCGTACTCCCACCTCTGATGCTCGCCTTCAAGATTTCTCGAGGGATGCACCGTTCCTGTGGAACTCGCTTCCCTCCTCCGTTAGATGCTCACCCAGTCTCCACTCCTTCAAAAAATCGTTAAAAACCCACTTTTTCATAAAAGTGTATCAAACTGTTAATAGCTCCTGACTGATTCCTCTTCTGCCACTGTCACTAGTCTAATACTATCCTTACCTTTTTGTGTCATTTTACCCCACACCCTCTAGCATGTAAGCTCATTGAGCAGGGCCCTCAACCCCTCTGTTCCTGTGTGTCCAACTTGTCTGGTTACCTCTAAAAGTGTGAGTGGGACCTTTGTATATTTCTACCACACCTTTAAACATTACAGATTTGCACTATGTTTGGATCTTTCTGTTTATGTTTTAGGAAATTCCTATAAAGAATTATTGTGAATTACATATAAAAAGAAGGTATAATTTCAGTATTTTGGTGTTCATCACTTGGTATTATCTCTCCACTTTGGCCTATCTATTTACATATAGCGCTTCACCCATACACCGGTTTGTACTATAATTTTGAAAGATAAGTTTGGGGTGTTATAGCAGCTAGAGATCAATAGTATTCCTGATATAAGTGTATCACTTTGTATTGAAATATTAGCGCTGGTACTTTTACCCTTTTTCCACCTCTACATGTCTGTTCGTGCACCCATTGTAAAGCGCTGCGGAATTTGACGGCGCTCTATAAATATTATAATAATAATAATAATAACACAATGCTGTCCAATAGAAAATGTGTGTATGCGCAGCAAACTGTTAACCCTGAAATGTAACCATTGCCGTTCCTGCATAACAATAATGTTTCCAGCTGCAGACTAAAAAATGTTAGGGTGGTGGGACATGGTTCTCAAACCACTTTATTGAGATGAAGTGGTCTGGGTGCCTATAGAGTCTTTTTAAATAAGGGATTGACAGGAAACTAAGAATTGTGGGTTTCTAAGTTTCATTTTATTTTTACATGATCATATCTTACAAACATAATATTAAAAATCCTAGGAAGTGGCAGGTACTCTTTAATGCAAAATTAACGAAGCTTCAATTTGTATTTCCATTCCTGTATTTTAGATCTGTGAATGGCTTCAAGCAAAGTCTTGTAACGGAAGATGCCGCAATGAGCAACTACACCAATAAAGTGTTTGCTGGATGGGATTTCTGTATGAAGGACCCCAAAATTCTAAGGCAAAAGCAAACCAGCATCTTATATGAGTTAAAGGTCAGTTTACCTTATTCACTTGTGAATTGGGAAGTGAAGACTTTTATTTCTTTATTAACCCCTTAAGGACCAAACTTCTGGAATAAAAGGGAATCATGACATGTCACACATGGCATGTGTCCTTGAGGGGTAGAACAGACACTGTTGACATCAAAAAAACTTTAGCTTAATAAGGCAGTTTTGGTGTATAGATCATGTCCAGGCAGTCTCAAGACTCAATTTTCTGCGATTTAGGAATTAAAGCACTTATTACTTTATGCAGCCTTAGTGACACCTTCCAGCATGCGACCAACACAACCTTCCTAAACACTTCCTGCAAAGTGTCATCTAATGTTTATACTTCCTTTGTTGCAAATACTGTTTATTTCAAATTCCTTATCTCCTCCACTTTTAATAGCTTGTGTGTGACTAAAGTTCAATTTACAGAGCAGGAGATAAAACACGTTTAAAGTAAGTTCTGCTACATATGTAAATAGAGCACATTTCCTTTCAACAGAAATGTTATTTGTGTGGTAACATTACTTGTAAATTGATGTGCAAAGATTATTAATATTTTAATATTTAGATCTATGTTTGAATGAAATATTCTGCAATGACTGAAGTACAATTTTCTGCACAATTGCGTTAGATGTTGACCGTAAGACAAACAAAGCTCAGTTGACCCTGTTTTTTATAAATTCACTTAGGCTAGACCAAAGGTAGGCAACCTTGGGAACTCCAGATGTTTTGGACTGCATGTCCCATAGTGGCCTTAGAGCCATAACGCTGGCAAAACATCAGGGCAATTGTAGTCCACAACAAATATAGGGTTGCCAAAAGTTGCGTACCTCTGGGCTACATTATTTAGTAAGCTGGCTAGTCGGGTGGGACCATGAAACAAGCACTGGCAGCAAAGATGCTTTCAAGCGATCAGATATACTTACCTGATTACATTCTACTGGTTTGCCAATACTGATCCTGATTTCATTATTTTTGTATAAGCTTTTTAAATGATTTCATGTTTAAGGATTAACTTTTACAATTATTTCATATATTTTTTATGTATTGATATGGTATTTTTTGCTCCATAAGATGCACCACACCATAAGACGCACCTAGTTTTTAGAGAAGGAAACACAGAAAAAAAATATTCTGAACAAACTGTCCCATAGTGTTTCTTAACACCCACCCTCCCCTGTCCCATAGTGTTCCTTACCACCCACTCCCCTCTCCTGTCCCATAGTGATCTTTAACCCCCACTCCACTGTCCGATAGTGATCTTTAACCCCCCTCCCCTTGTCCAATAGTCTTCTCTCCCCCCTCATCCCCTAGTGTTCCCCCCTCCACTTATCCAATAGTGTTCTCCCCCCCTCCCCTTGTCCCATAGTATTCCCCCACTCATCCAATAGTGTTCCCCCCTCCCCTGTCCAATAGTGTTCTCCCCTCTCCACCCATCCAATAGTGTTCCCCCCTCCCCTTGTCCCATAGTGCTCTCCCCCCCCATTCCATAGTGTTCCGCCCCTTCCCTCATCCCATAGGTTCCGCCCCTTCCCTCATCCCATAGTGTTCCCCCCTCGCCTCCTATAGTGTCCCTTAGTGCCCCTTTCTTACCCCCTTGGTCCCCGGTAGGTTTACTTACCTGTATTGTAGCGTGGACCGGCAGAACAGTGCGCACCGCGGTACAGGAACTTAAATTTCAGTTTTCAGTTTCTGGACGGACTGAAAGGAAGAGCGCACACTGAGTGCGCACTTCCTTTCAGTCCGGCCGGTAAATTAAAATTTTAGTTCCTGTACCGCGGTGCACGCTATTCTGCCAGCTCACGCTACAATACAGGTAAGTAAACTTATACATTCGCTCTATAAGACGCACAGACATTTCCCCTTACTTTTGAGGGGGGGGGAAAGTGCGTCTTATAGAGCGAAAAATACGGTATTTATAGATTTTTTGATATTTAAATATTTTTTTAAAACTATTTTAACAACGTATCCAAAAATATTAAATCGGCTACCTTCTACAGTAATGTTAAAGAAATCCTGTCTAACTCATATCGTTATTCTGTTCCTGATTTAAAAACAAAAAAAACTCTAAATAGGCAAATCCTATATTTTGTAAAGAATGTGCAACTATGGATTGCTGATTTTAAACTGAACCCTGTATTGTACCAAGTGAGATGTACTCATTGTGGTTTTTTTATTTTTTTTATTTTGCTGTGCTAGAGATAACATGCTTGCTTGTAATGCCACGACAGTGTTCTATGAAATTTCCCTACCTGTGAAAATCCCTAATTTGAACCCTCACTTAACCCTAAATGTCCTGTGTGCCTAAGCTTAGTGAATGCACTAACTATAATGAAAGTGTAAAACTAGTTTTACTTACCTTCAAGGACCTTGCTGTGGAGGAGTAGCAGGAGTGCTAGCACGAATGTGCAGCACAGGATCCAGCTAATTCCCCTCACCGAAAGTGACAAGGGGATTTTCACAGGTAGGGAATTTGATAGAACAACCAGTGGTGTATCCTGGTTTTGTGCTGCCCTAGGCAGGACAAAACTCAGGCACCCCCGTGCTACCCCCACCCGCGCAACCGCCACCCAACCCTTCCCCCCTGCTCCGCCTTCTAAATACACACACACACATTCACTGACAGATACGCATTCACTAGCTAACAGAAACACACACTCACTAACAGACACACACTCACTCACAGGCAAACACACACACACACACACTAACAGGCAAACACACACACACACACTAACAGACACACACTAACAGGCAAACACACACACACTAACATGCAAACACACACACACTAACAGACAGACAGACAGACACTAACAGACAGACACACACACTAACAGACACACACACACACTAACAGACACACACACACACTAACACTAACATACACACACTAACATACACACACACACTAACATACACACACACACTAACATACACACACTAACAGACACACACTAACAGACAGACACACTAACAGACACACACTCTAACAGACTCACACACACACACACTAACAGACACACACACTAACAGACACACACACACTAACAGACACACACACACTACACACACACTAACAGATACACACACACACATTCACTTGTGTTTTTTTTTTTTATTTAACCCCCCCAGCCTCCTTACCTTTGGGAATGCTGGGGGGGTTCTTCCTCTCCCTGGGGTCCTGGGGTCTAGTGGCTGCCGGTCGGGCTGGGCGGGCGGGCGGGCGGCCGGAGAGGGAGCTCTTTCCCTGAGCGCTCTGCTCAGCTCCCTCGCGTGCCGCCAGCAGAGTGAGGCCGGGAGCCGGAAAATGACGTCATCAACCCGGCTCCCAGCCTCACTCTGCGGCGCGCGAGGTAGCTGAGCGGACAGCTCAGGGGAAGAGCTCCCTCGCCAGCCGCCTGCCCGCCCAGCCCGGCATGTCTGTTAGCCGCGAGGCTAACAAGGCATTTGCCCTTTTGCGGCTTTTTTGCCGCCCCCTGAATTTGCCCATTTGCGGCTTTTTTGCCGCCCCCTGAAAAATGCCGCCCAAGGCAAATGCCTTGTTTGCCTCGCGGCTAATACGCCCCTGAGCACAACGGCAGTTACAGGCTATTAGAATACAAACATAGTTAAACATTTGTGTGGCATTTAGAGTAAAAAGCACAATTTTATAAGGTTTATAATGCGAGCTGATTATAGGCTAATTAAGTACGTCTTATGTGGTGGGTCATGTTGAGGTCAACAGGCTTGAGGCATTAAACAGTGGCGTACATACCGGGGTTGCGGCTGCGACCGGGGCCCGGCCCACCAGGTACATACCCGGTATGTACCCACTGTGGCCAGCCTCTTCTCCTGCAGGGCCCAGGAGCCGGCCACCTCAGGGCCCCCCCGAGGCTGGCCCTGGTGTCACCCGGCGGGTGGAAAAAGTATGTGAACCCCTAGACTAATGACATCTCCAAGAGCTAATTGGAGTGAGATGTCAGCCAACTGGAGTCCAATCAATGAGATGAGATTGGAGGTGTTGGTTACAGCTGCCAGGCCCTATAAAAAACACACACCAGTTCTGGGTTTGCTCTTCACAAGAAGCATTGCCTGATGTGAATGATGCCTCGCACAAAAGAGCTCTCAGAAGACCTACGATTAAGAATTGACTTGCATAAAGCTGGAAAGGGTTATAAAAGTATCTCTAAACGCCTTGCTGTTCATCAGTCCATAGTAAGACAAATTGTCTATAAATGGAGAAAGTTCAGCACTGCTGCTACTCTCCCTAGGAGTGGCCGTCCTGTAAAGATGACTGCAAGAGCACAGCGCAGACTGCTGAATGAGGTGAAAAAGAATCCTAGAGTGTCAGCTAAAGACTTACAAAAGTCACTGGCAAATGCTAACATCCCTGTTAGCGAATCTACAATACGTAAAACACAAAAAAGAATAGATTTCATGGGAGGATACCACAGAGGAAGCCACTGCTGTCCAAACAAAACATTGCTGCACGTTTACAGTTTGCACAAGAGCACCTGGATGTTCCACAGCAGTACTGGCAAAATATTCTGTGGACAGATGAAACCAAAGTTGAGTTGTTTGGAAGAAACACACAACACTATGTGTGGTGAAAAAAAGGCACAACACACCAACATCAAAACCTCATCCCAACTGTGAAGTATGGTGGTGGGGCATCATGGTTTGGGGCTGCTTTGCTGCGTCAGGGCCTCTACGGATTGCTATCATCGAAGGAAAAATTAATTCCCAAGTTTATCAAGACATTTTCCAGATGAAGCTCAACAAAAGATGGATGTTGCAACAGGACAATGACCCAAAGCACAGAAGTAAATCAACAACAGAATGGCTTAAACAGAAGAAAATATGCCTTCTGAAGTGGCCCAGTCAGAGTCCTGACCTCAACCCGATTGAGATGCTGTGGCATGACCTCAAGAAAGCGATTCACACCAGACATCCCAAGAATATTGCTGATCTGAAACAGTTCTGTAAAGAGGAATGGTCAAGAATTACTCCTGACCGTTGTGCACGTCTGATCTGCAACTACAGGAAACGTTTGGTTGAAGTTATTGCTGCCAAAGGAGGTTCAACCAGTTATTAAATCCAAGGGTTCACATACTTTTTCCACCTGCACTGTGAATGTTTACATGGTGTGTTCAATAAAAACATGGCAACATTTCATTCTTTGTGTGTTATTAGTTTAAGCAGACTGTGATTGTCTATTGTTGTGACTTAGATGATGATCAGATCACATTTTATGACCAATTTGTGCAGAAATCCAAATCATTCCATAGAGGTTCACATACCTTTTCTTGCAACTGTAGTTACCTCTGTTCATTATGGAGGTGGAAGTAGCACAGCTCCTGGATTCTGGTTGTTGGGGAAGCAGGGACCCCTTCCTGCTTCCCATGCAGCAATTACCAGGCACTTCTAGCCCTTCTATTTGTCATTTTACGATTATATATCTTGAGATTGCTGAGAGCTTAGTGTAGAATTTTCCATCTTCCAAAAAAATTAGTAAAACAAATGTCTGAACTTTTACGGTAAATAAGTTCTTTATATATAAAAAGCCTCCCTGCGTCTGTTATTTGTGATATCAGTTGAGAGTATGGAATGCCATTTTATTAGTTTACACATTACATTTGCTCTTAATATTTTAGGAAGGAAATCTGTTTCCCCATCGACTTCAGTCTGGATTCGTTGTTGTAGCTACTAGGATGCCAATATATGTCATACTTTGCCTGATTATAAGTCTGAACTAGTCTTCTGAAGATTGGGATCTGTGTCCCATTACTAGACCATCAATGGAATATTTTTCATTGCTAGGTGATGAAGTCCTGCCCAGTTTCTTGATACATAAGATTTGAAACCATGTGTCACACAGCACTGAAATAATTTGATATATTTCTCATATATGCCTCAGGTTAAATCCGGTCATCCTGTTGCATTGAACTGTTTATAGATTATGGGATATGCAGATATAACAGGTTGTAATCTATTAAAAGAAGCTCTGCATATGATTTCCATTATAATTGCTGATATTCGTGGTACAATTGTGGAAAACAAAAATCTACAAAGTGGAAAAAGTATTTTTTTATCCACGTAGTTGGTGAAAAGTATGCAGAATGCATCGAAGATAAAGAAATGTAGCTAGTGTTTTTGTTCCTAATTATATTTTTATTTGTTTTTTCTTTTGAAAAATCACAGCATAGTTTTAGTTAGAATTTTCAGTTTAACCCCTTCTCGATCAAGTTAAATTTAAAGGTGCATTGTCACTGTCTAGGAAATTTGCCACCCTCAGTGGTGACATCACCGCAGACAGGGACAGGTAAACGTGAGATTTCATTACCTAAACCTGCCGCCATTTTTCTCGGTCTTCTCCTCTCAAGCTCCAGTAGTCAACGTCACTCGCACGAGAGAACAGCTTTGTGGTTTTTTGAGGATCCTGTGAGATGGCAGGATCCTTAATAGACAGAGCCAATTCCCTGCTGCCATCACTGGAGTCTAAGAAAGTCAGGCAGAGGAAAATTACAGAGACAAAGTTGTCCCTACTTTGTCTCTGTATATCTCTTGACTGGATTGGAATTTCATTGAAGAAAATGATGACCCTAACACTAACAAAGAGGTCTTGACACCCAGGACATACTTGAAAAACAAGAGAAATCTCAATGTATCCTTCCTGGTAAAATATTTTATAGATAAATAAATACAGCATATCCCTACCTGTGTTTGTCCCCTCTTCCCTATACATGAACAGTGTGCTGCTGCTGATTTCTGTGATCTTAATGAATGTATAACCATAAACATAAGGGATGTGCATGGGCAAAAAAATTGGTTCGGTTTGGAAAATCGGGTAAGTAAAAAAATTTATCTGCTTAAGCAATTCGGACCAATGGCATTCGGTTCGGTTCGGCACTTCCAAACTACCGGACTTTGGCAATTCGGAACTCTGGCCATTCAGAACTTCGGAGGCATCCTAATGTCCGAATTGCATGAAACAAATTGCACATGTATAGTAAGTGGTTGCGGTGGCAGTCTGGGCACTGGGAGCCCTATAGATGTGTAAGTGGTTGTGGTGGCAGTCCGGGCACTGGAAAGTGGGAGCCCTATAGATATGTAAGTTATTGTGGTGGATATCCTGGCACTGGGAGCCCTACAGATGTGTAAGGTGTTGTGGTGGCAGTCTGGGAACAGGGAGGCAGGAACCCTATAAATGTGTAAGTGGTTGTGGTGGCAGTTCAGGCACTGGGAGGTGGGCGTCCTATAGATGTGTAAGTGGTTGTAGTGGCAGTCCGGGCACTGGGAGCCCTATAGATGTGTAAGTGGTTGTGGTGGCAGTCCGGGCACTGGAAGGTGGGAGCCCTATAGATATGTAAGTGGTTGTGGTGGCAGTCCGGGCACTGGGAGCCCTAAAGATGTGTAAGTTGTTGTGGTGGCAGTCCGGGCACTGGAAAGTGGGAGCCCTATAGATATGTAAGTGGATTTGGTGGATATCCTGGCACTGGGAGCCCTACAAATGTGTAAGGTGTTGTGGTGGCAGTCCGGGAACTGGGAGGCAGGAGCCCTATAGATGTGTAAGTGGTTGTGGCGGCAGTTCAGTCACTGGGAGGTAGAAGTCCTATAGATGTGTAAGTGGTTGTAGTGGCAGTCCGGGCACTGGGAGCCCTATAGATGTGTAAGTGGTTGTGGTGGCAGTCCGGGCATTGGAAGGCGGGAGCCCTATAGATATATAAGTGGTTGTGCAGTCCGGGCACTGGGAGCCCTAAAGATGTGTAAGTTGTTGTGGTGGCAGTCCGGGCACTGCAAGGCGGGAGCCCTATAGATATGTAAGTGGTTGTGGTGGCAATCCTGGCACTGGGAGCCCTACAGATGTGTAAGTTGTTGTGGTGGCAGTCCCGACACTGGGAGGCGGGAGCCCTATAGATATGTAAGTGGTTGTGGTGGCAGTCCTGGCACTGGGAGCCCCTGCCCATTGATTCAGAAAACCGAAGCACTTCAGAACTTCGGCAATTCGGAACTTAGGCAATTCTGTTCGGTTCAGCACTTCCGAACTACCGAACTTCAGCACATTGGCACTTCGAACATTCGTAAGCATCCGAATGTCCTGTATCGCAGCCTGGAGCGTGGACCCAGTTGCTGAGTTGCAGGCAGGTTTGTGTAGCAGTGCAGTCGGCCATTTTGGGGGACCACGTGTAGGCTGCTTTTGCCTGTGTCGCCCAGGAGCGTTCTGGAGGTGAGTACTCGATTAGTGGAGGCCGAGATAACCCCCACCGGCCCAGGGGGGGGGGAGTACCTGCAAAGAAAGGAGCAGAGGTAATGAGACCACCGCTTGCAGGACCAGACTGAAACAAAAAAGGATCAAATGGCAAAGGAACGGGTGTGGCAACAAAAAACAAACATTTAAAGGTATCCAGGAGACTGGGAATTCCAGGAACAGAATACAGGAATGAACCCAGAAAACCCAGCATAAAGAAAACCAGACATAGAATAGAAAACCAGAAAAAAAAAAACAAGAATTGTAATAAGAGTACTGGATACCAGAAGCCAAGGCCATCTCCACAGAACAGGATGTGACACCTTCTGGGATGGGAAAGCCACTATTGACTTGGTCATACAGTTTACAAGATGGCTAATAAATTAACACAGGGATTGAAGGCGGTTAGATCCACCATGGGGTTCGTAGGGCAGGGAATTTAAGCATTTTCGATAGACATGTGCAATTAGTTTCGGTCCGAATAAAAATTCGGGTTATTCAGACATTCGGGTGCTTCAGAATGTCCGAAGTCCCGAATTGCCGAAGTGCCGAAATTACCGAATTTCCAAAGTGTAGTAGTGCCAAAGTGCCGAATTGCTGAAGTGCCGAAGTTGCCAAAGTTCCAGGGTGTCAAAGTGCCGAAGTTCTGAAGCACAGTATTGCCTAAGTACACTTACCCAGTGAAATAAGAAGAATGTTACACTGTATACAATTTCAAATAAAAAGTATACAAACATAGACAGGATTCAGCTGTAAGCATTTGCAACACTTACAACAATCAAGTAACATACATTCATATAAAATGTAAATTACTTAGCCAGTCATTTAATGACAAGAATGAATAAGTAGATAGCTTCCTAATACTGTGGGAATTAGGAAGTTATCTACTAAAAGGCTGAAAGACCTAAATTGGTCTTTCAGCCAAATTTACTAATACTAAGTAAAGATTACTTAGTATTACTAAATTATGCCCCTACTCGCTATAACGCGAGTAGGGGCATGTCTATTAAACAGTGAACAGTGGGGGCTTTTAAACTAAAGGGGGGACCTATTGCCCCTGCGGCCCCCACCCCTGAGCGGCGGGTGGGGGCCCTTAAGTAAAAAAAGTGGGGGGAGGACCTATTGTCCTCCCCACCGGCCCCCACCCCTGAGCGGTGGATGGGGGCCCTAAACAAAAATTGGGGGGGTGACCTAATGTCCTCCACCCTGGCCCCCACCCCTGAGCGGTGGGTGGGGGCCCTAAACAAAAATAAGGGGGGGAACCTAATGTCCTCCCCCTGAGCGGTGGGTGGGGGCCCGAAACTAGAATAAGGGGGGGGGACCTAATGTCCCCAAACCCCTAGTCACCCCCCTCCCCCAAAAAATAAACTCCTACCTACCCCCCTCACCCTAAAAATAATGAGGGGGGACCTTTAACTAAATACCTGTAAAAATAAGAATAAACTTACCATTCAATGTTTTCTTTCTTCTAAAATCTTCTTTTTTCAGCCCCCAAAAAGGCCAAATAAAAATCCATTATAACCGACGCAATTAAAAGAAAAAAAATAATAAAAAAAATAAAAAATTCCATCTTCACCCGGTGAGGGCTCCACGCAGACTGAGCTCTGCAGGGTGGGGGAAGGCTTATAAAGCCTTGCCCCGCCCTGCAACTAGGCTCAGAGCACTCTGATTGGTGAGTTTAAGCCATCCAATCAGAGTGCTCTGACAGGTTAATGAAGGGACTGACAGTTAAGTCTCTACATTTACCTGTCACAGCACTCTGATTGGTTGGTTTGAAATCCACCAATCAGAGTTCTCTGTGTCATTTTACACAGCGTGGGAAAGTTCTTTGGAATTTTCCCACGCTGAGTAATTTGACTCATAACACTCTGATTGGTTACTTAATCCACCCACTGCTCAGGGGTGGGGGCCGGTGGGGAGGCCAATAGGTCCTCCCCCCTTTTTATACTTTAGTGCCCCCACCCACCACTCAGGGAGGGGGGACCCTTTTTTTTTTTTAGCCTTTGGCTGCTCACTGTTTACTAGACATGCCCTTACTCGCGGTATAGCGAGTAGAGGCACAATTTACTAATACTAAGTAATTTTTACTTAGTATTAGTAAATTTGGCTGAAAGACCAATTTAGGTCTTTCAGCCTTTTGGTAGATAACTCCCTAATACCGTGGGAATTAGGGAGTTATCTACCAAGCGGCTGCAAGAAAAGTCCCGAAATGCCGGAGTTCCGAAGTTGCTGAAGTTCCAAAGTGTCTAAGATCCGAAGTTGCCGAAGTGTTCAAGTGCCGAAGTGTCAGAGTGCAGAATTGCCGAAGTCGGAATGCCGAACCGAGCTGAATATTTTCCCCATGCACATGCCTAATTTTCGAGAATGAGGTTTCACATGCCTTCAGCTTGTTGGACAGGCAGGATACGATAGTTCCAGTCTCAGCATTGTCAGACCATGTTATCTGGTAAAATGCGTGACTGGACCTCCCCGTTGGTCTCTGTATACTACATAGCTACATTCCATTGAGCGTATGCGCGGTGTCAGAAATAGACGCCGACATTGAAGACACGTCAAACTGCTTGCCCTGTCACTCCTGATATGATAATCAGCACAAACCTTGCAAAATGTTTTTTTGGACGTCCATAGGAAAGCCTTGAGTAATGCGCGTGGGCTCTGGCCGCGCATGCGCATTTGGCTCCACTCAGTAGCTGACGTCGGCAGCGGGAGGAGAGGTCACCAGCACCGAGGGAGCCCGGCGCTGGTTTAAGGTAAGTGGCTGAAGGGGTTTTAACGGGAGGAGGGCTCTGAGGGAGGGGCTGACCTAATAAACCTATAGAGCCAGGAAAACGAGTTTGTTTTCCTGGTACTATATGATGCCTTTAATGTTGTACTCTCTTTGAAATCCTATTCTGATATATAAATAAAAAAGTGAACGAGAAAAAAAATGATAGAGTCAAAAAATGTGAAAAATAGTGGAAGTAAAACATGAAACATAGAATGCTATATAACATTTTTAATGACTTGTATTAGTTTATGATGCAATACTTCTTGACCACTACCTCTTCTTTTACTACAATCTCTTTAATTTGCCTAATCTAGATTGATCTTGAAGAAGATAAAATGAGACGTATTCATGCTGAACGCACCATGTCACAGCGAGCAGGGATTTATATTCTTCGTATCGTACTCAACCTCTTGATCATGTGTTTGATTGGAGCAGCCTTCTACTGCATCTACCTTTCTACTACAACCTCACAAAGTTTGCTACAAGACGTAAGACACTTGATAAAGACACTTGTTCCCATGTTCTTTAAATTTCCTTTCTTGTATGTATGTTGTCCTTGTGATCAAAGTTGGTTGAAATGTTATCTTTGTGGGAACTCCTGAAAATAAGTGTGTGGCATCTTTTACCAGACACCATACAAATGTTACCAATGCAGGAGTAGAACAGAATTGATTTATATACAGAAACATGTATGGGAAATGTTTCCATGGGAATTTTGTCAGTTGTTTACTTAGATGGGCATTGCTGCTGCTCAGTGGGGGTTTAGGTTTAAGGGAACACTTCAAGCAAAATAACTACAGCCTGCAGTAGTGGTTATCTGGCCATGAGTGCCCTGACACCATCCATGCTGGGTAGTCAAACCATTTTACTACTGTTTACAAGGTTCTCCATCCCCTGCTTTTTTGTCTTCACCAGTCTTCTAGTAGGTCCATGCAGGTCTTGCATCAGCCAGGTTTTACTCTGCAGTGACATCTGTTTTCTCCTCCAGTGGTGGTATTATTTATACAATTTAAAGGACCACTTTAAGAAACTGCTATGTTTATGAATGGGTTAAGCCTTCCCTTTCTCATTGACAGCCACTAGAGGCGCTTGCGTGCTTCTCACTGTGATTTTCACAGTGAGAGCACGCAAGCGTCCATAGGAAAGCATTATGAATGCTTTCCTATGTGACCGGCTGAATGCGCGCGCAGCTCTTGCCGCGCGTGCGCATTCAGCCGACAGGGAGCAGAGAAGGAGGATCGGAGGAGGAGAGCTCCCCGCCAAGCGCTGGAAAAAGGTAAGTTTTAACCCCTTTCCCCTTTCCAGAGCCGGGCGGGAGGGGGTCCCTGAGGGTGGGGGCACCGTCAGGGCACTATAGTGCCAGGAAAACGAGTATGTTTTCCCTGCACTATAGTGGTCCTTTAAGTTAATGTGCAGCCTTCTAGAATTTTTGGCAGTTTTTAAGGGGTTCCTCCAAGCATCATAACCACTACAGCCAGATGGGAGAAGTAGCTTTATGATGGAAGAAGTATCACGGTGACGTTCCCCAGTAATAGACAAAACTGTTTTGCAAAAGTTTACCTATATGCTACGAGGTGGTGAGCAGAAACCATGAGCAGAAAATATGGTGGCAGAAACCATATTTTGATCCTACAGCTTATTCTGGGCCATTCCGGGCTGGCTGATGACACCGCTCTAGGTAAAGTTACACATCCAGCAGCAAAATAAAATATGTATGGGCAGCATTTTCATATTGAAAGACTGCATGTACAGTCTCCAAGCACCATGACCACTTTAAAACACTGATGTGGTCATGATGTTTGGAGTAACCCTAATGCTTAAATAAAATAATGCATTTAAAATGGGGGGTCACTGCCAGGGAGTTTTTTTTTTTCATTACGTATGTCTAAGATACTGCATCATGACTTCCTTTCTGCGCTGTCTTTCATAAAAAAAAATGTGAAGTGACGGGGGCAGGAGCGGGGGAGGGAGAAAAGTGCAAAAAAACAAACAAAAAAAAAAATACTGTTTTACATTTTCAAGGCTACTTAAAATCCCCTATCTTGGCAAACAATTAAAGGGATTCGGTTACACCAGATGGCCATATTGTGTTAAGCCCGCCACTACGTCACAGTGTCCCAATATCGGTGGGTTCTACACTGATTTTATCATGGGAGATTAACATGCTAACTGCAATACTTACTGCTTTAACTGCTTCCAGAGACTCTCCTTAAATTTATGCTTTAAAATTTCAAAGCATAAATTTGAGGAGAGTCTCTGGACTCGCTAATATTGGTGTTATTTTGATGTAGTGGTGGTCTTAACACAATATTGCCGTGTGGTGGAACTGAATCTCCATATTTGTTTGCCAAGGTAGGTGATTTTGAGTAGCCTTGTAAAATGTAAAACACTATATTTTAGTGTGTGTGCGGTAATTTTTTCCTAGTTTGTTGCAAAATTGGAAGCGCTTCAGACTAGGTTTTTTGCCTTTTTTTGGATCAACAGCAAAAACATATGTGAGGAAGGCTGAACTTAATCTGTATTTTGTGCTGTCTTTCAGTCATTCTGTGTAACCGTACAATTTTTCGCTTAACTTTTTGCTATTAACAGAAAGAAATTAAAGGTAACTTTATACGGGAGCTACTCGTCGGATATTTGCCGTCTATTGTTATCACAGCTGCAAACGTTATTCTTCCTATTGTCTTCAATATTATCATCACATTTGAGAAGCACACACTGAACTGGCAAATCAGACTTACTCTAATCAGGTATATAAAACCTGGGTTACTTTTCCAATACACCGTATATACTTAAAACAGGCTTGTGTATCTCCAGGCTTTCCTGTTTTTATATAGCTACTACTCTCAATATGTTTTAAACAATAACTGAAATTACGGGGGGGAGATCCAATGTCTACCCACCACACATGGGGGGATACCACTGAATCCCGTCACCTATACTGTGCTCCCTAACAGGGGTAACACTAAGATAACTAAATAGAAATAAGAGAATCCCAGTACTCCCCCCAAATAAGGTGAGTAGTGGGGAGGGAGCGCAGCAAAACAAAATAGTAGCGAAAGAAAAAGGAAACCTTATATTTTATTAAGAACTAATAGAAATAGGCAGAAAATAGCTAAAAAATAAAATAATTACCAGTTGAGTCTGAGGGATAAAGAAAAAAAAAGTGGACAATATCCATCTATAGGCAGGTAAGTGCCTTTACATAACAGTAAGGTTGCAGGACAAATATGAGGGACGTGGGTAGAAACAACCTCAAACAATCATCCTGTGTTTCCCAACCCAACAAGTACTTAACCGTGTGAATCCAATAGATGAAACACTGATAGGTACAGTTATATCCTACAATGCCACAACGCAGGAGAAACTCCAGTCATAGACCCTCAAAATTGGAAGGGGTGAGAAAAGAATTCCCCAAAAAACCCTGAAAATGACTAGAGATCAATAATATATTGCAAGAGGAGTCAATCTAATCAGTGTATCCCACCTTGAATCACGAAAGTACTAGTTTTCAGGCATATGGGAATCCGGGGAACCAACACAGGGAATAAATGCCTATAATCTCCCTAATTACCTCGGCACCGCACAAGGCTCGTGCCTACCTGCACCAAATGTCCCACAGACTACAAGCAAAATAAAGTCCCCATAGTGCTACCCATAAAGTGTCAAATGAAAAAAAGTGACAAAAAAGCGCCCAAATATGCTCAGCCAAAAAACAACTGATAGGACCTTGAGTTCCTTGTAGTAAACAGACCAGTGTCATGATACCTATTTAAAGACAGTTTATATTGTGGTGAAATGTGGCGTTGAGTGGGTGGAGCTACACCTCAGGGAAATTGCCCTTACCCCCACTTTCTCATAGAGTTCTACCATGATTAAAGTGTACAGAAGTACTTGCAGTTTAATGGGAAAATGTGAAACATGGATATATACCACTATAGGAGAGCACAACAATCTCTTCATTAACACATAAATATTGAATAGTAAAATACATTAGATGGTTTGTATCTACATACTGAATATGCAAACATAAATATAAATATAGCAATGCATGCATACCAGCCATTGAAACCATTCAAAGCAAGACGTTGTCAAGAGATATAGATATATAAAAAGGCCGTGAGATTTGGAGAAGGTCCATGAAATTTAGACATGTGCAGAGTCCCTGAGGTGCATTGATACAGATATCGAGAGGCATAACATTCAATATACAAAGATTCAGAATGTATGAAAATACGTATATATATATATATATATATGTTATACGAGATATGAAGTAACATAGGCCATGAGATGTGGACACAGAAAAATGAGCTGTACATTTATAAATAAACAAGGACCATGCGATATGATAATGGTGAAGAGTTAAAGTAAATAGAAATAAAGAGGCCAAAATTATTGTGAAATAAAGATATGAAGATCATGAAATGCAGTGTTCTAAACAACAGGACTTAAATAAAAATAGTGAGATCTAAAGAAAAAGTCATAAAAAATATACAGAAACGCTTAAGGCAAGATATAAGAGTACAGAGGTCATGCAGTAAGGGATGTAGATGTATATTAATGAATAGGAAGCTGCTATTCAAAGAGTATAGGATATTAGGATCAAGAGATAAAAATTGCATTTTAGACGGGGACAGTCATAAAGTATAGAGGTACAGAGATCAATATTCCTAGATGGATTTTATTCACTCTTGCAGAAGCGTATTCCTTCGCCTGGCTAGTCTGGGGATGCTGCTTTACTCTCTTTGGGACAATATCACCTGTAGCGGGAATATAGAGGATTCCAGTTGCAAAACCTGTGGATACAACTCTAGTTTATACAAAGTAAGTTCACTTGTTTGCTTTCAATGTATTTCCTCTGAGTTCAATTAATGACAACATTCTATCTTACTGATTACCACATGGGAGGGATTGCGCTTATCCTAAGTCTATTTCAAAGAATGATCTCTATCAGAGGCATAACTTGAAATCACGGGGCACCGGTGCAAAAATTGCCCTGGGGCCCCCCACCATGCCACTCCCTGTGTCACATTCCACATTCACGCCACCAAGGCCCTCCATGTGTCTCATTCATGCTCCACAGTGTGAATGTTGCATGGTTGGGGGGGATAAGTATGACAGAATTGCAGGGGTTAATGTGATATGGTGAGAATGGCAGGGTGAAAGGGGTGAGTGTGACAAGTGATGGAGAATGAGTGTGACTGGGTTGGGGGGTTAAGTGTGATAGGGTGAGTATGGCATATTGATAACAGGTGAGTATGGCATGGGTGAGTGACAGGATTGGGTACATCACTGTGCGTGTGGCATAATGAAGGGGGGTGACCGTGTGTATGGGGGTGACAGATACACAGGTGGATTCACTGACACACTTGCTGATAAACAGACACACATACAGATACAGAAGCACATATACACACAATGACACACATGCAAATACACAGACAAACAAACACGCAGACACAGACACACATGCAGATACACAGACACAATTACTGACAAACATTGAGATACATAGAATGACACTCATACAGATACAAACAGTGACACACATACAGATACATAGGTGCACACACAGACACACATGCAGGTTCACAGACACACATGCAGACAAACAGATACACATATACAGATAAACATACAGATACAAATACAGATATACAGATACACATACAGACAGATACACACACATATAGACACAAATACACAAACTATAAAAAAAAAAATTTTTGTCACCCTCCTGTTTCCTACCTTTTAGGTGCAGGAAGGTGACATCCCTGGGGTCCAGTTGCTGGCTTAGGTGGATGGGAGTCAGAGCTCCCACTCTGATAGGTCATCCTCCCGCGCGGCGCTCTCCTTCTCCTCCTGCGCTTGGTAATTTGCTTGGAGGAAGTGACAAATATTCGGATGAATATTCCCAGGCCTTTCTCGTGAAAAGTAACACTTGCCTGTCAGAGCATTCTACTGAGATCTCAAAGTGTAGGAAAACATTTTCCCTGCCTGCAAGCTCACTCTGCACAGAGCCCTCACAGGGTTCGCATGAATTTAGTTTTGTTGCGTGGGCTGTTTTATTTTTTTCGTTGAGTTTCTGAAGGTAAGTATGTTTTTTTTAAACTTTTTTTTTTACAGGTACTTGATTTATAGCAGCCCTCCTCCCCAAAGTATGGTACCCAGATAGGTTTTAGGTGACAGGTGCTAATAGATCCTAGTACATAGGTATTTCCATTCCTATCTGGGGCATATGGGAAGGGGACAGCCTTCTAAGTGGTGTTTTAGGTGTGGTTTTGTTGTTGTTGTTGCTGTTTTAGTGTTTTGTATTGTATAGTAACATTGAATAAAGCCATTTATTTTATAGCTTAAGTGTGCACCTCCTGATACTTTGTCTTTGGTTATATATTCTTCTCTGGTTGCCCTGTTAATCAGAGGTAGCTGCAAGGTTTTCTATATACATGTTGTATTGTCAGTGGAATATTAAAAAGCAATGTATATTTTTTAATATTGTTTGGTATAAAGCTATTGCTGCCTTCTACTTTTCCTTTGCAATACAACACGTTTTATTTAATATGACGTATGTATCTCTATATTTTAGTGCTGGGAGACCCGTATTGGACAGGAGATGTACAAGCTGATGATTTTTGACTTCTTGACTGTGTTGGTTGTCATTTTACTAGTGGATTTCCCTCGAAAGTAAGTGATTTATCATTGACTTCATCTCATCTAGATTATGAATTCCTTATTTAATGATAAACGTTGCATCTGTTATTCGTTTAAAGGGACACTCCTTATCCCTAAAGCACTTTAGCTTCCTGAAATGCTTTATGTGAGAATAGTGTGTCCTCTTTTTTCAATTTACAAAAAGTACAGATTTTAAAAGAAATTGGCAAACATAATATAAAATAATATCCGTAAGTATTACTTTACTGAGAGGGTAGTGGATGCATGGAATAGCCTTCCAGCTGAAGTGGTAGAGGTTAACACAGTAAAGGAGTTTAAGCATGCGTGGGATAGGCATAAGGCTATCCTAACTATAAGATAAGGCTAGGGACTAATGAAAGTATTTAGAAAATTGGGCAGACTAGATGGGCCGAATGGCTCTTATCTGCCGTCACATTCTATGTTTCTATGTTTCTATGAGTGATTTTAAAAATTTTTTTATTTTGGCATGAAGTGTCCATTTAAGTATAGTTGCATGATAGCTATCATTTTAGGAGAATACTAGCTATATAATGTATCTGTTTTGTATCTCATTGTAGAGCTTTAACTGAAAACAGGGTATAAAGGCAAGCTAATACTATGGGGATCTGATTCCTACATGTATAATGTCTCAAGTACCCAGAGAGCTATCCTGACATGTGTGACCCAAAAATAATGCTGGTACATTTGAGATCAATGGTTAATTTCAATATGTTGGTCTCCAGACGTGAAGCTTAGACTTTTTGAATATATACCTTGTATACCTTTGTTTTTGTTTGTTTTTTAAAGTAATACTCTACATGAAAAAAAAAAAAAATAACAATAACTTTTTATGACATATACCCCAATAAAAACATGTTTTTTTAATTAAATTATATCTAAAAACATTTTGTAAAAGCTACAGCTCTTATGACTGCAACCTTTGCAAGACGCCCCCATTTTTAGCCTGTCCCTTGGGAAATGACCAATTAGTGGCTTCTCATTGACAAGTGGACTTGTAGTGGTTATAGTGCTTGAAGTGTTTATTAATTTGTTTATTTTTATTCTGCTTGCTGCTGTGCACACTGGCAATTATGTATGTGGATATGAGCATGGTATTGTCTAACAAATTGGCCACAATAACATATGTACAGGAGCAGAATGAAAATATATCACAGATTTACAAAAAAAAAAAAAGAAACAGACATAATATTTTCTGTATTGAATAAAACACAATAAAGTGCAAAAACTCACAAGTATAGAGCTAAAGGTCCTTTAACAAAAAAAGGTCCAAAAGTAAGCAGACACGTTTTGACTCCTCAGGGAGTCTTCCTCAGTGCTGATTGGTGTCCCGGACACCTGTTTGTTCCTATTTTGTTTTGTAGATCTTGATTAACTTTCATCCTGCTCCTGTACATGTTTCCCCGAAAATAAGACATCCTAATATAAGCCCTACCCCAAAAATAAGCCCTAGTTGTTCGATAATCTATGTTCAGGGGATTTTCCCTAAACATAGCTTTGCAGGATTCCATTCGGGAGTAAGCTTATCTATGTTCGGGGAAAGACGGTATATATTTTGTGTGCTCACTGAAAGGTGTAATTCTTTGATTTATTGTGCACATGTTGAATTAAGGTGACAGGAAAAATTAATTTTATTACACCCACATACAAGACACATTTATAAGAAACGCCAACACACCTCATTCTCTGATTTTTCAAAAGTGGCCATAGTGTTTATCAGGATGAATGGCGAATCCCAATCATTGAGAAGTCCTGAAAAAGAGATAATATAGTGCAAGGAATACAAAGCTGTATTCCTTACACCTTTACTTCCCTCTGTTCCCCCTCACTTACGCCCCCCTCAGAACTGTAAGGGTTAAAAAAAACATTACTATACTCTCTCGATTCCAGCACCGTCGGTCAGCATTCCTCCTACTTTGGTGTCATCCTTGCCAAGCGCATTAGGCCCTCCCCATAGTAAAAGAATAGCTGCAATGCTTTCCTATGGGATTTTTTCTGCTGCTGGACCAAAAGCAGTAAGCAGTAAGCAGGAAGTGCCTCTAGTGGCTGTTTGATTGACAGCCACAAGAGGCAGTCTTAGTCCTGCAAGGTAATCATTGCAGTTTCTCTAAAACTGTGAAAATTTACATTGGAGGAATAAAGGGATCAGGGACACTGCACCCAGGCCACTTCTGTAAACTGAAGTGGTCTGGGTGCATATAGTGTCCCTTTAATAAACCACTGGTAGCAGGATATGACCAGGTGTTGAAAGGGATTTTCAGAACTAGGTATATGTTCTGAAGGCTAGTGAATGATAAAATAAGCATTTGTCATTAAACAAATTGATATTTAAACACATAAAAAAATAAGTAAAGGAGTATCTACCTGAATATATAATATTTTATAAGACATGCTGTCTTCTCATTACAGACTGATGGTTGATCACTGCTCGTGCAAGCTTATCCAACTATGGGGACAGCAGGAGTTTTTGGTCCCACAGTTTGTTCTGGATATTATCTATGGACAGACAGTCTGCTGGATTGGAATTTTTTTTTGCCCTCTGCTTTCTCTTCTCAACACTATCAAGTATTTTATCATATTCTATATGAAAAAGGTAAGGATATGTATCAAATATATGGACTAAAAAGAGAATAATTTCTATGTGTGATGGTCGAAAGTCATCCATTAATTAGATGATGGATTTTAAAAGGAAACCCCAGTCTGTGACACCCTTTCCCTCAAGGCATTACATAGATAGATCATACATAAACATATTAAAATATGCAAAATCATATAAAGAAGAAGAAAGCTGCAGTAGTTGACAATACACACCCACATATGGAAGAGGCTCCTCCACTCAGGCATTCTCTTATTCTTTGTTTTTTTCTTGTTATATGTTTATAGGGTGTTAGTGAGATACCTTTTGGCTAGCTCTTGTTTTATACTAAGTGATTTCTTTGTAGAAATTCTCTTATTCTAGTCTGAATGGTCTGATTTTATCTCAAACACTTCTGTCCAGCATATGCATGTGAGGTGTGTTGTTGCAGTTACACTTATCACGTAGGACAAGAGATAGATGTACAATTCGTATTTCATCTGAATTCATCCCTTTGGAAGAGTTCGAATTGACAGAAACCGAAATGAACCAAAAGCTAATAAATTCTGTACTAATCAAAACAAATGATTTTGGATCTATTTGTTTTTTTCAATAGGATAACAAATTAAGGGCATATCTAGTAAGTGACTGAAAGAACAAAATTAAGAAAAAAGAGCTTTTGTTAATTTTGCTCTTTTAGCTATTTAGTAGATATCTCCCTAATTTGGTATCCTTACGTGGTCTTGTCATAATTAAGTGTACCAAATGTGGGTGCTGTTTAACAGACAGCTCCCTCATTTAGTACTTGGTAGGTATGCTTATGATAATCCCATGTAAGAATAGCAATTAAGGAGGATACCTGCTAAATAGCTGAAAGAGCATGATTAAAAAAAGGATTTTTCATAATTTTGATCTGTCGGCTATTTAGTAGATACCTCCCTAATCTCCCTAATCCCCTATCTTGTGTATTTCATATACATTTCCACTAGTGTAGACATGTATAAGATATAATATTATCAGTGGTCCATTCTATTGGTCTTGTGATTTCTCACACCTTTTATTTTTTAAATAAAAACTTAGTCTTAGCTCAGAAACACCCCACAAAATGTGTCTTACTGAGGCTCTGAAGGTCAAATATTTATTGTGTTTTTTTTTTTTTTTTTACTTTTTGCAGTTGACACTTTTTACCAACTGCCGTCCTGCCGAACGAGCGTTTCGATCTTCAAGTGCAAACTTCTTTTTCCTATTGGTGCTCCTTTTGGGTCTGGCTTTATCTTGGGTGCCAGTCTTGTATAGTATATTTGTGTAAGTATTTCTTGAGATGATATGGGAACGCTGAATGTGCAACATGATAAGATCGACGAAGGTGATTTTTAATTGCTGCTCCAGAGACTTCTAAACTTTGACACTGGAAATGAGAAATTATAGTTCACAACAGCCAGAGTGAAGAAGTCTAGCTTTTACTGTATTAGCTTATAGCAAAAGATGCAAAGTGATGAATACACCTTGTTTAAAAAAAAGGATATAAATATGTATGAACTAGTTCACAGTTTATGAAACCAAAACATATAAAAACAAAATAGTAGAGCCAATAGTTGAAAACATTGATTAAACGTAGAACAATATAAGGAACACATATGTATATGTTCAAGTGGGTTTATCTTAATCACACTAATAGTTTCCTTGGATCTGGCTCTTTTTTTATTTGATTTGATGTTTGGAGATTGTGGCAGTAACTGCCCCTGGCTTGATCATCATTCTGGATCAGCAGGACCACTAGGATAGTGCAGCATTGAGGTGGATAGTATAGAACAAAATTGTAAGGTAAAGTCCAGAAGTGCCCAAACCTTAGATCTCCAGATGTTATAGAACCCACAGTTTTTAGAATGGTAAGACATCATGGTAGTTGAAATTTTAACGTATCTGAGGATCTAGCTTTAGGCTAGCTCTGGTCTACACTTTATCTAGTCACCATTCAACCATTCACCATGATAACATAACTACTGCAAAGCAGACTTCAGCCATTAGGTAAGATGCACAAAAGCCACTTGGGAAACAACTTCATGTAGAAGAAGTCAGCGGTGCACTCAAATGCCCATCGATTTAGTAAAATGTCCATACCATCATATATACACTAATAGTCAACCCTTTTCTACCTACCGCCCACTAATGCATCTTTTTGGTTGAAAAAATTTCCTTACCGCCCACCAGTTTTTGCGCAAGTGCGGAATATTTTTTAGAAAGGAGGGTGTTTTAAAAAAAAAAAATAAATAAATGTACATACATTTATCTTTTAATTTCTACTTAATGCTTAATGTTTTTAACTTTATAAAGTTTAATGAGAAAACAATAAAGTAAATTGAAATTACCTTTACTAGTGATTAATGAGATCCTTGAGGTTGATGCTGTTTCGTAAGGAACAAACGAAGGTCTCCTCTTTCGGTGATATTCAGACGACTTCTCTGTTTGCGCATAATATGATTTCTCATCTGTGCGTCAACTCCCCTCCTCTCCCTCCTCAATTCCCCTCCCCGCCTTTTTTTTTTTTATAGCAATGCCCAGTAGGAAGGCTGAGCTAGGTATCCCACTTACTATTACTTACTATAGCCCACTATAACAGACACTATAACAGACAGGCACACATACATACATACATACAGACACACACACAAGACACCCATACATACAGACAGACAGGCACACACATACATACAGACACACACACAAGACACATACATACAAACAGACAGGCTCACATACATACAGACACACACACAGACATGCATACAGACACACACATACAAAGACACACACATAAGACATACATACAAAGACACATACACACATACAGACAGACACAAGACACACATTCATACAAAGACACATACACACACAACACATACATACAAAGACAAGACACACATACATACACACATATATACAGACACACACACACAAGACACATACAAAGACACATACATAAGACACACATACATACACACACATACAGACACATATATAGATAGAGACCGCCGGCTCGCATGCCCACCCAGTCTCTCCAAATGAGGAAATCCCTACCGCCCACCTGGAATCCTGAAACGCCCACTAGTGGGTGGTAGGGACCCGGTTGACAACCCATGATCTAACAGATCTGGCCTACAGCAAGAAACAAAGCATGAATTATTGGATTTGGCGTTTTTCTTTATTTTTTTATTAACATTAAGCATCCTTTGTCATGCAGCATTAAACCTTCGGCAGCATGTGGACCATTCCGGGGTCAGCAGACCATATGGGAAACAATCCCTACAGTGGTAAAAGGTTTTCCTCAAGCCGCAGATGAATTCTTTGTGTTTATTGGCTCGCAGGCATTTGTGATCCCTTTATTTTTAGCATCGTGGTAAGAATATTACATTGTTTGAAAGTAAAAACGGAATTCACTTAACTACACGTAAAATTCTGTCTCGTTGTAATACTTGTTTCCTTTCTTGTTCTTGGCAATGATGAAGCATTTTGATGTTCTACCTCATGGCACTGAGCAGCTCATATGGGAAACTTGTGAATATGTTGAAGGATCAACTGCAAATGGTAATCCAAATGTAATCAAATGGGTTCGGTATCCATTTCTGATAGTCTGTTACTAAGTAAATTGTAGTGATGGCTGTGGAGATGATTTTATCTGTATTGTCATGGTTAACCATTGCCTATACTGGAGGTCAATCAGTAGATGCCTTTACAAACTGAGGATTTTTTTGTCTCTTCAGAGACACAAATAGAAGTCGTTTCAGTGATACTTTGCATTCTTTTATCAACGGCAAAAGTTTTATTTTTACTAAATTCGCAGCTATATTCCTTCTCCATTTCTTCTCCACATCAAGAGCCATATTGTCCCCCACCCACAGCCGTTATCCAACTTCAAAGTCATAACCCCCAAGCCAAATGTCTCCGCTTTCCACTTACATGAATTCCTCAAAATAGATATTATCTCCATGATTCCCAGCCTTTTATTTGCATGGCACTATGAAGGGTTTGTTCATCGAGTTGGTGGGATATAGAGAAATACTCCCTCGATAGGTTTCCTCACACAAACCGCTGACTGATGCAATGTAGCAGAAAAACAAACTGTTTTCTGCATCTCCCCATATAAAAATACCACCAAAATGGAAAGCTGTGAGACATACTATGGCCATCTGCTTTACACATCCTGCTGACCCACAGATACCATAGGTAGTGACCAGCATCATTAAATATAATGATAATAAACACAAATAGAAAAAAATATATAATAATTACAAAGCAGGTAATTAGCATGCTGAAAATGGAATAAATAGCTGACAGAATGGCACACTGTAAATTGGACACACAGAAAACCTGACATGTAGGTATAAGACATCTATGCCACAGAAAACCCTGCACAGCAGGGGCTTCTGGGAAATGTGCAAGTCCTTATATGTTTCCTAACCTTTCTTTCTCTCCCTAATGGAAGTAAGAAACAATTGAGAAAAGTTAGGGTGTAAGTAGGTTTGCTGTAACAGGGTACCAGGCATCGCACAATAAAATCAGGATATTGCATGTTTTTTTAAATGTATTATTGCGCTGCACCTTCCGTTTTACTTTAAATTTAAGACTCATGCTATGTTGAGTGGGATAAATGAGATATTTGTTTAATGTGTTATCATTTCATCTCTTTCAGGAGAGAAGCCGAAAAATGTTTCTAAATCAAGTAAAGTAAACTAATGATGTTACAAAAGTCAAAAACAGAAATGTCATTACTGTCCTGGGTGATATTTTTAACCATATTTATTACTGTCCCAGATGATATTTTTAGCCATATAATGTGTATTATGCCAAAGAAATGCTATTATCATTGTTGCTGACTTTTCTATTACAAATCAGTGAAGAAGAAAAAGATGACGCAGCATGTATTTTATTTTATTAACTTTAAAGAATTTCTTTTAAAAAAATGTGATATATGGTAATACTGTGAAATGATTCCGCATATGAAAGAGGCTATTAAAGGATCACTATAGGGTCAGGAACACAAACATGTATTCCTGACCCTATAGTGTTTAAACAACCATCTAGCCCCCGTGGGCACCTCATGCCTCCATAAATATAGTAAAAATCTTACTGTATTCAAGCCTGAAGCTGTAACTCTGCATGCTATTAGAATCAAAAAAACAAGCAGTCTGCTGACATCATCAGAAGTGGTAGCCTTATCCAATCACAGTGCTTCCCCATAGGATTGGCTGAGACTGACAAAGAGGCAGATCAGGGGCAGAGCCAGCATGATTCAAACACAGCCCTGGCCAATCAGCATCTCCTCATAGAGATGAATTGAATCAGTGAATCTCTATGAGGTAAGTTCAGTGTCTGCATGCAGAGGGAGGAGACACTGAATGTTTGGATGCATTTTAGGCAGCCATGACCCAGGAAGGATCTCTAACAGCCATCTGAGGAGTGGCCAGTGAAGTTATTACTAGGCTGTAATGTAAACAGTGCATTTTCTCTAAAAAGACAGTGTTTACAGCAAAAAGCCTGAAGGTAATGAGTCTACTCACCAGAACAAATTAAATAAACTGTAGTTGTTCTGGTGACTATAGTGTCCCTTTAAATATGTAGGCACATACAATTATTCAGCAAAATAAAAGGTGAAGATGTGCATTTAGTACATTTGTTCTCCATACTTACAGATAAATAAGATAGCTAATCTGTGTGCATGTTTGTATTTTTATTTTTTGTCAAGAGACATTCAGACACTGTCATTTGGTGAAGTCTAAATATGGTGGGGTTCTGCACCCCAACTTGTTGAGCTCTACCCCTATAATGCCATGAGATGCCATGGCCTTTTTCAAAGCCATTCTGCATCTCTAAATGTGTAACTTGAAGTGCAGTTAAAGGGTTTCCCCATGGTTTCTCATGCATAGCGTGAGGACGGGCAGCGTCATTTAGGTAACTAAAATTAACCTAAAGACCCAGAAGTCCCTCTAGACTGCCACTAGAGGAGTAGTTAACCCTAGCAGGTATTTATTGCAGTTTATTAAAAACTTCAATAATTACATGCTCAGGGTTAAGAGTGATGGGACACTGCACCCAGACCACTTCAATGAGCTGAAGTGGCCTGGGTGCCTATAGTGTCCCTTTAAGTGGATACAAGTGCACTGTACTCAAAATAATGTTGGTTAATCAAAATCCAAGCACTTTGCTTCTAGTTATTGTATTTTTTTGTTTTACTTATAATGTTTAATGTTTCTACTGTACTGAAATTCTTGGTTTATGTTGCATTGCAATGTTTGACTTCGATGTTCCATTTTATAGATATATATATAAAACATGAAACCAAAAGGAGGATTTTATTAATTTGTATACAGACAAGATGATGTTACAGTACTAGTACTTTTATAAACATTTTATATTTATTAAAAATAATTAGAGCTTCAAGAGTTTAAGATTTTTAAGGTTTTTATTTGTTGGTCCGATTACTGTTTATGCATTAATTTGCTGTTTACATAATTTGTGACATCATCTGAACACTGTGACATGTAGAAGTTTTAATATATTACACACTATAATCCAAAATTATTTTTGTACTAATGTGGACTCTGTAAATGTTGTAAACATTTAAATTAAATCTCTGTATTAATAAATTTATAAATATATATATATATATATACACACACGTTTGATAAGATTGTTCCTCTTTGTGTTTCTGTGACCCATGAAATCATGTCTGCTTCAGTGTCCTTGGGATCCTTTAACATATAAGCATTTCACAAATCAAATGTGAAAGACAAACTCTGAGAATGATCAGATTTGCAAAGGCTCCAAGGGTCCTGTATCATTTCATATTGAGCTGGTCCACCCATAATGGCATTTGCGAATTAAAATGAAAAACATATCTCGTCTGCTTTAGAGACATACAGGGTAATTCATTAACACCAGATTTTTAGATGATCATTACGTATTAGAAACATTTTTCAAATGATTAATTTCCACAAAAAAGTGACCAAAGACTGTAGATAAATCATTTAAAAAAAAAAAAATTCTAACTGATTGTGATTATTTTTAAAGTTTATCCAAAAATATATAATTGAGGCCTTTGTTCGAATTGACAAAATCTGGTGAAAACAGGCACATTCCAACTGAACTGAAAAGTATTTGCAACAAGACAAGTTGGATGCACAGGAACAGAGGGTGTTGAAGGCATAAAGAGTAAAAAGGTGGGTAAAATACATTGAACTAATAATATGTAGGCTTTTGATAGGTCCCTCCAGAAAGCTAATTTTTGCTTATGGTAGTAAATCAGCCATTGGAGCTCTAAGTTTTGTTCAGGTCTGAGGCAGAACCTGCAATGCCACAGGTGGGTACATATGTACAGGGCCGGCGCCACCGTTAGGCAAACTAAGCAATCACCTTGGGTGCCGGCCTGCTGGGGCGCCCACTGTGATGTTTCCTGGTGGGCTCCCCCTGTCTGGATCCGCAGCGCTGGGCGACGCGCATTTGAGTCCCCAGTGCCGGGCCGATCCTTCAAGCGCCCAAAAGTGGGGGCGCCCAGAAGATCCCTGTCACAGGGGGGCCAGGAGGTGGCCATCTGACTGCGCCCTCAAAGCTCTGCTAGGTAAGGCAGAGCAGGCACCTGCTTACCTTGATGGCAGGTGCCTGCTCTGCCAAGAAATACTGGAGAAATTAGCGCAGAAGGGGACAGGAAGCAGGCTGCTCTATTGTGGGTTGCGAGGGAGGCTGTTCTTGCAGCTTCCCACTCCTCCCTCGCGCACCCTCTGTGAATATGACGTCATTCCGGCCTCGGCTTACTAAACAGCGTGCTGGAGGAGTGAGGAGCTGCCCCACATTTGAGCCCAGGGAGGTAGGGAGGCTGGATGTCTGAGTCTGTGTGTCAGTCTGTCAGTGAGTGTTTGAATGTCAGTGAGTGTGTGTGTGTGTGTGACAGTGTCTGCCTGTGTGTGTGTGTTTGTCGCTGAGTGTGTGTGTGTGTGTCAGTCTGTCTGTCAGTGAGTGTTTAAATGTCAGTGAGTGTCAGTCTGTCTGTCAGTGAGTGTGTATGTCAGTCTATGTTTGTCAGTGAGTGTCTGTGTGTGTGTGTGTGTGTTTGTCAGTGAGTGAGTGTACGTATGTCATTGAGTGTCTGTGTGTGTGTGTGTGTGTCTGTCGGGGAGTGTATGTATGTCAGTAAGTGTCTGTCTGTCAGTGAGTGAGTGTATGTCTGTCAGTGAGTGTCTGTGCGTGTGTGTGTCTGTCAGTGAGTGTCTGTCTGTCAGTGAGTGAGTGTATGTCTCAGTGAGTTTCTGTGTGTCAGTGAGTGTATGTGTGTGTGCCTGTCAGTGAGCGTGTGTGTTTGCCAGTGTGTGTCTGTCAGTGAGTGAGTGACATTAGGGGGCGGCAAAATGGATGTATGCCTAGGACAGCAGAAATCCTTGCACCGGCCCTGCATATGTACTAAACAGTGAGGAGTCAGTGGTTTCTCACTATAACTAAACAGTAGTACATATACACACACTGAAATACACACAGATACACTCAGATACACACACACTCAGATAAACACACTGACATACAGATACACACACTCAGATACACACTGACAAACACACTGGTCATACTTTATATATGCAGCCACCCTCCTGTTAGCTTACCTTTGTTTTAAGGAGGGTGGCTTGCTTGGAGTACTGGCTAAGGATGATGGGAATAAGCATACAGCAGCAGCAGCTCATTCCAGCCTCATCTGTGTCTCCATGCTGTATCCTGCCTCCATGCTGCTGCCTCTTCCCTCCAGTTCTCCAGGGCGGGCCGCTCTCTGTGAAGCGGGGAGGAAGTAGCTATCACTTCTGTCACTTCCTCCCTGCCGTCTGATATCACAGGGGCCGGTCAGTTCTTAAAGGCCTGGCACTCGACTGGGCCTCTGTTTAATGAGTAGTATGGGAGTGTTAGGGGGTGTAAATCATACACAGTATAATAGAAATAACACAAACACATCATAGTGTGTGTGTGATTTCCGGGATATTGTGTATGACTTGCAGGTGTCAGGGAGCAGCATTCACCATGCGGGAGTCTCCCCGAACTATCGGAAGACTTGGGATGTCTGGTTTAGTTACAGTAGCCATTGATAGCTTACTGTTTAGTAAATATAATCCCACCCACGCCATGGCAGGTGGGGACATAATGGTGGTTTAACACTCCATTTTAGTAATAAAGGGGGTCATATTGACCCCCATGGGCTTTTTAATTTTTTTTTACATTTTAGTGTGGCGGCTAGATAGCAGATGTTGACCAGTCTCCAAATGGTTAACCTTTGCCCCGCCAAGGTTTTTATTTTTTTTAAACTGTTTACCTTCTCCCTGCTGACCACTTTTTGACCATGGGGCTGCTCGTGAATTTTAACAATCTGGTCCAGATTTAATCCGTTTGGCAGCGTTGTTTCTGGCTAAAATACGGATCATATTCATACTCGATCAAAGCCTGCTCTGCAAAATCTAGGCATTGTTAAATATCTTGAAAGATTTCTGTATTTTGCACTCCAAATGACCCCTACAGCACCAAATGGTTTTGTCCATTTAGAGTTTAGTGAATTACTCTGAAAGTAATCCTCCAATAAGAATCAGCATTATATGGGCCTCCAGTTCTTTAGATTTGATCCTACACTGACATCTAGGGGTAAAAACATGTAATAGCACTGCTATCGAAAAAACGAAATATAAGAGAATGCCATGGTTAACGTTTAAGTGGTAGGACTGGAAATGTTAACATTTAACTAAGGTGACATGTCTAGTTCCTCCAGTTAAATATTAATATTTCTAGTAAATCTTTTATCAGGTCCATTACGATATCATTAGCATTCTTAACAATTCTCTTTGTGCTTAATGAATGGTTTCTGTGTACCTTGGATCTGACTTAAACGACTTATGAAGCAAAGTAAATAAAAGACACATGGACATTATTATTATTATTGGTATTTAGATAGTGCCAACTAATTCCGCAGCGCTTTACACTATTCTGAAAGGGGGGGAAGTTTACAATAAATTAGACAATTACATAATGACACAGGAACAATAGGTAGATGAGAGCCCTGCTCAAACGAGCTTACAGTCTAGAGAAGGTTCGGTACAAATACACAACAGGGCAGCAAGGGGGACAGCCACCCAACAAGGCGGAAAAGTAGCAGAACTGGAGGTGAGTGGAAGTGGCTCTTTAGGAGACAAAGAGACATATATGGATAGGTATAGATAAGTTACTCTGGGAGTCCATAGCACAGCATTGCTGAACAGATGTGTTTTGATGGACTTTTTAAACAATTTAAGACTAGGGGAGAGTCTGTAAGGGGTAGTCAGGCTGTTCCAAAGGAAGGGAGCCACCCGTGAAAAGTCCTGCAAGCACGGGTTAGCAGTAAGGGTGCGAGCAGTGGACAGGAGAAGGTCACTGGAAGAGCGGAGAGATCAAGAAGAGGCATATCTATAAATAAGTGAAGAAATGTAACAGGGGCTAGAGTTGGTTAGAGCTTTATAGGTAAGGGTTAGTATTTTGAATTGACACCTGTAGGATACAAGAAGCCACTGTAAGGATCGACAGAAGGGCAAGGTATGGGCAGAGCGAAGGGTGAGAAAGATCAGCCTGGCGGCAGACAGACATGTAGTATTCATACTCACCGTGTGTCTCCCTGGCTGGACTCTTTCTCCAGTATTGCAGCCTCTCTCTCCCAGCTCAGCTCCTTCATTAGAGTTTCCTAGTTTGTTGCAAAATTGGAAGTGCTTCAAACTGGGGTTTTTGCCTTCTTTTGGATCAACAGCAAAAAAACAAATGTGAGGAAGGCTAAACTTGATGGACACCTGTCTCTTTTCAGCCTGTGTAACTGCAACTATGTACTGAGAGGCAGAGTCCATTCCAGGACCCATTGATATTGGGGTACTGTGGCGTAGTACCAGCTTCAGATGTCCCTTTGGAGATGAGCACATAAAGGTATAAATTTGAGGACATTTTGGATACCAATGTCACTTTAATAATAATTTTTATTTGATATAGAGCAGATATGTGATATGTATTGTAAGTATATACTCCAAGTACTATCACTTAGGACACTTTTTAATTGTGTTTTGCTGGCTAATCATGGCAGCATCACATATGGGTAGCTCCACCCCAAGCCAGATCAGGACAGGAAATAATTAAGCAATTAATCAATTAGACTGTAGGCATAAAAGGACCCTCCTCCTTCCATAATTCAGTCTTTTTTCTGTCCTCAGTCAGATAAGAGAAATTTAATTCCTAAGAATTTTATTTTTTTGGCCACCCCCCATGTTTAATACGATATGGCCATTTATGGAACTTAAGCCCATATTTGTTTGCTCAGATAGTTGATTTTAAATTGCCTTGTAAAATGTAAAACTGTATTTTTGTGTATGTGATGTTTCTTTAACCCCTTAAGGAACAAACTTCTGGAATAAAAGGGAATCATGACATGTCACACGTCATGTGTCCTTAAGGGGTTAAAGGGACAATATAGTTACCGGAACAACTTAAAGGACCACTATAGGCACCCAGACCTCTTCAACTCAATGAAGTGGTCTGGGTGCCAGGTCCCCCTAGTTTTAACCCTGCAGCTGTAAACATAGCTGTTTCAGAGAAACTGCT